CAAATGATTGATGGAAAATTAAAACAATATATAAAGTTTTAAATTCTTCACCCACTGCACCTAAATTTAATCCAATCATAACAGAATGGAAGATAATTCCAAATTCCAAAACTAAAAATGCAGCAATTTGACTTTTAAAGCTTCTTTCTTTATAAACACTTGATTCATCAGTGGTATTATCAAAACTTCCTTTCATATCATCATTTCTTTCAGTATCATTGTTAACTTGAATTAATTGATCTTTTTCATCGTGTCTAACAACTGCATCCATAATTTCTTTATTCCCCACATGAGTTGATTGACCATATTTTCTTTCAACATAAACATCAGAAATGACATCAATTAAAAATATAACAAAGACACTAGTCATTATAATTGTTGCACACCAAGGAAATGCAGACCAATTACCATTAGATCCAACACATGATTGACCACCGATTTCTTCATAAGCAGGATCCATTAAATGAACAAATGCAGTTGCTAAAATAACACCTGAACCAAAATATCTTGCAAATATATAAAAATATAAAGGTAATTTTAACTTTTTGAAACTTCTTGCTAATAATGGGAAAACAGTAAAACCAGTTGAAACAATAAATATAACAAAGACTGAAGAAATTCTTGCACCTAATAAACCATTATATTCATTTTCACCAAAATAAACACCTTGAAGAACACATGTTTTCCATGCATCATCAACATTTGGATCTGTTAACAACACTGTATCAGGGTTTAGATTTGACATTTTGCAGTATGAATTGATCTTCAGGATTATCTGTTGTTTTATTGTTTTAATAAAAACGTTTCATTGTTTTAGTATTTATACCATATCTTTTAATACCTAACTTTTTCATATTCTGTACGTTTATAACCATTAAAGTTGTAATCTTGGGTAAAAGATGCATTACAATTTCTCTTTGAAGTAATTGAAAAGAATGTGTCAGGTCAAGATCAGGATTGAGTCATTATTAAGTACTGTATAAGTTACCGCTGTATGACGGCAGTTAGTTATTCCATATCAATTCAATTTAACACAAAGTTTCAACAAATTGATTTATTGTTGTTGAAAACCTAAAATGAATTTCTTCGCGAACTATGATTTGAATAAATCTAGACATCTAGGCTCAGTATTGTGTGGTTTCTTATTCAATAACTGGAACCTCCATCGACCACCAGTTATGAATAAATGTAAACAACTGTGAATTACCAGAATTAGGTAGCACCTACCATTGTTGCTGATATTCAAATTGGTTTTAGGTGCCATGGCCCGGGAGATGATACTAGCTGCGAAACAAACTGATCATTATCAGTAATTCAATTGAATGTTTAGCTGCTAACAAAGCCATGTCTAATTTTACAATTGGATAAGACCCAGACAATATATTCACTATCAATGTTATAACTCAATATACCGACAAGGAAAGATATCGGTTGCATTATTGAATAAATGATCAGGATGACAATATCATTCAACCTGTTCACATCAACATTTTTAGCTTGGTCATGAGATATTTAATCTATCTATATATATACATTATTAGCTCAACTTACATTTACATTATAAGTGGGATCCATATTGATTCCATTGAGTATTGAGTTATCGAAGCTCTTTCCCTTGTCAAATAAACTTCCAACTATATTAAATTGTTCATATATACACCAAAATATATCAACCATATTGCAATTAATTCCATTGTGCTCCCAACCCAAACTAGCGGCCGTAATCCCCATTTAATATTGCGTAATTATAATATTTAATCCACCTGATCTAGTCATTGCAGAGATTGTTAACGTAATCATGGAAAAATCAAATTGAAGTGAATTGAATTTTCTGTAAACAATATTATATAACACTTAAAGCATCGTTTGCGGGTGATGCAACAATATACCTTATACCTGGGCATTGATTCACTAGAAACAAGCCTTTAACTGGCTTCTATAAAAGTTGTTTTCTTTATATATAGAATAAACTTTGAGCACTATAAATACATTTCAAAGAAAAAAAGGACATAGAGTGCCTTATCTTTACAAATCCCGACGATATCTATATCAAAATAACATCCATATAATTAAAATAAAAATCATTTGGTTAAACTGCTAATTAGTAATATCAGATAGAATAACACAGTTTCAAAGTCAAAGTAGATATCTAAACTCAGGGTTTTCCATATCAGTCAAGTCAAAAAGTTCAATAAACTCAGGTGCAATATACTTGGGACCATAACTAATCCTTAGCTTTTCCCTTTCAGAATTCCTGTACGTATAGATTGTAATTAACATCAGTATGTCGAATGTTCCGATGATGGATGTTATGAGCAACGCTGTCTTTGCCTGTTCATAGTCATTATTTTTAAAAAATTGAGGACCAATTATACTACCAACAGCTGTACCCATATGGAATAAAGCACTCACAATGATCTTTTTAGTATGACCTGCAACATTTGAAGCTATATTTGAGATGACTCCAGAAATCACAATAGTTGATACATAAAAACTGAAATATCCAAATAATCTGAGAATTCTGTCATTAGCATACTTGAAAACAATCATTCCTATCAAAGTTATGGTACTTGCTAATGAGCAAATAATTAACTTCTTACCCGTGAATAATTTCTCGTTCATATATGCGACTATTGTAGGTAATGATATATCTAATGCACCTCCGACCATGCCCAATAAAATACTAGCTTTTGAGCTATATCCAAAATCATTCATCAAAATCATAGAGCCAAAATTTGAGAACGAAGAGCTACCTATTGAATAAAAGATACCATGTGCAAACATAATATATGAAACAGTGTCAGTGAATGCTTCGAATAGTTGCGATTGTTTAAAAGTTTTGTTTCCCACGCCTTGATGATTGGAACGGAGTCTTTGGATAAAATCCATTTTCTCTATAGCATTGAAAAAATGTGCCTTCAAAGGATTCTCGGGAATATAAAATGCAGATAAAAACCCAAAAATCATTGTTAATATACCTGTCATTATATAAAGAAGTCTCCAGGAGGCTAAAGCTAGTTGAGAGTCATGTATAAGTAGGACATAAGCAACACCGGCTTGCAGAATAGTACCAAATCCTTGAAATCCAAACCACATACTACAACGCGTAAACTGTTCTTCTCTCTTCCACCATTGTGAAGTTATCAATGTATATGCTGGTGACATGGCAGACTCAAACATACCAATGAAGAAACGACATGTTAAAAACCCATTTGATGTCTGACAGGAAGCATGACACAACAACAAAACTCCCCAGACAAGTACCGAGGTTGACAAACTTTTTGATAAAGCCTTTTGAATTATCAAGCTGATTGGAAACTCGAAGATCAGATAACCAAAGTAAAAAATGCTTGAGACCCATGTGTATGTTTCTTGGGTCATTCTCAAATCTTCACGTAACCCCAAAATAGATCCATATGATGTTATACTCTTCTCCATCATCTTGACACTCATTAGGCACGAGACTATAGGTATGATACTCCTATCAACTTTCTTGATAACATCTGTGGTCATGGTGGTATATAATGATGAATTTTCGTCGATATAATCCATTGCCAAATCAGCATCCTCAGGAATAGAAGGACGCACTGAGACCTCTAATACTGTGCTAACTTGCATTGCGTGCTTAACATAGTACTGAGGGAACACATCATCATAAAAACACAGGGTTCTATGACTTCTTTTAAATAAATTTTGAAATAGATGAAGATCTCGCAAACTTTAGAGACGTGATTGTTGATCTAAAAAAGTTGTGAAAGGTATAAACTTTAATTTTCTTGATATTCCGCGAATCAAACTACACGAAAAAACTGATTAATAACTTTTTTTAGAAATTTATACAAGAATTGTGAATTGAGATCTAATTTTGAATGTTAGCCTTTGTTGTTGAATTATGTGTATGATCATGGCCATGATTTGATTTTTCTTTAATGGTGTCGACAATTTGTTTTTCATCAACATCACCATCATCACCACCATCATCATCATCAAATTTAATCCAATCTTCAAACCCATCTTCAAATTCTTTTTGCAAAGCTTTTTCAATTTCAATTATATTCTTTTTAGAATCGGTTATTTTCTCAAAAGTTTTAAACTCTAAATCTGTTAACAAACAGGAGTCCAACTCTTTTGTTAAGGCTTTCTGATCAATTGAAAGTCCAATGAAGACAAGTTCTTGACGTCTGTCGTCGTATTTACCATGATAATCTTTCTTGATCAACTGTCTTGCTAATGGATCTTCAGGCCAAAATTGTTCTCCAGTTATTGCAAACCATGGAATACCACCTTTTAAAGTTAACATTGCACCTGCAGAACTCCATTCACCTCTAACAATATATCTTGAAGCCAACCAAAAGAAACCCTTTGACCTCAACAATGGACCAAATGGTGATGCTTTTTTGTTTGCTATAATTTCTTGCTGTGTGAAATCGTCTTCATCTTGATCAGGATCATCATCTTCTTCATCAGATTGACCATTTTCCTCATCTTCTTCATCAGATTGAGCATTCTCCTCTTCAGAGTCACTTTCTTCATTCGATTCATTTTGCAAGTTTTCTTTATCATCCTCTTCATCATCAATATAAGCATTTTGTTCTATAACTAAGAACTTATCCCTTATACATTCGTATAATCTTTTTGGATGGAATGGCTTTCTGGAAGTATAGACAAAATTATTTATTCCATATTCTTCAGTCTCAGGTTTTGGAGCCAATCTGCCTTTTTGATCTTCACCAAACTTCCCATCCCTCAATGTCATTTCTTGGATACTTTGCAACCAACCAGCAGAACTAGACGCTTTATCAAAATCATATTTCCCAGTGTTAATGATTTCATTTAGTTCGACCTTTGAATAATCTGTTGTTATGACTTTAGCAACTGGGTTCAAGTTTTTGATGATCTTTTCAATTTTGGTTTTTGTTGATTTAGAAACAGAGGAACTTTTATTGATGATAATAACATCAGAAAATTCAATTTGATCAACCATTAAATCAGTAATGGTCCTCTCATTTTCACCTTGTCCATTTTCCCCATATCTATCAGCTAAAAACTCAGTTGTCTCAAAATTCTCAATAAAATTAACAGCATCAACAACGGTTACACAGGTATCCAAACTTGCTAGTTTAGTCAATCCACCAGCGTCAATAATTTCTTTCAAAATTTTTGTTTCATCTTGACTCACGGCTTCATCTTCCATATTTTGTTTCAATAATTGCTCTGTGAATTCTGTTGTGAATGTTTCAGCAACTTGCATTGGCTCACTAATACCTGTACTTTCAATCACAATATATTGGTATTTACCAGATCTTGCTAAAGTTACAAGCTCTTCCAATAAATCACCTCTCAAGGTGCAGCAAATACAACCATTTTGCAATTGAATAAGCTTTTCCTGTTTCTTGGTAACCTTATGATCAGAAATTAAAGCAGCATCAATGTTTAAAGATGACATATCATTAATAACAACCGCAATCTTCAATCCATGTTTAGCAGTCAATATGTGTTCCAATAAAGTTGTCTTACCGGAACCTAAAAATCCAGAAAGTAGAGTGACTGGGATTGGTTTTTTAACTTTGGATACCATTATGAGTATTAAAGATTATTTTTTATTCAATGTTTAATACAAGAAACTAAGAGTATTTGGAATTAAGGATAGATATTCATTTATATATTTATATATATACTCAATCATTAAATGAAATTTTTGGACCGACACGAGTGACGGTAGTACCATCATTGGAGAATTAATGTCTATAACAGTTACAATTAAGTTATACGCGCGTACTTATGGTAAAGCGAAAATTATAACCATGATAGTTATACAAGTGCATCTACTCAATTATATTATTATAACGCCTAATCAAAATAGTACTTGAATATTATAAAGCTGCACAAAATATCACTAATTATTGGTAATCTGAGTACTCTCATTGGATGATCAGCCGTGACGTTAGATCTATTGTCTATATATATACTATCACAATATAACGAATAGGGTGCTAATTTAAATCATTTTCATTTAAAAGTGCCACCCTAGTGGTTGGAAACAATTTAATTTAATGTAGGTATGTAATTTTTAATATTATGAGTACCCCAAATCAACCTTAACAGTTATAGAATTTAAATTTCATGAGCGTAGACGATATCAAATCATTTATCAGTCTAGTTGTATTACTAAATACAATCAATAATTCAATTAAACTGGTAGCTAGAAGGATGTAATCATATTGTTTATAATATATGATCACTCGAATTGGTTTCATTATAAGATTAAATGCATTGTAATGTGAGAGCTGCAGGTATTTTTTTAAAACAAAAGCAATATCAATAGTAGAGCCTATCTATATATGTGTAATATAGCTAAAAGAACTAACCCATATAAAATGATATAATTCGATAATATATACCAATATGTGAAGCAAAATTTCTGGCTTGGGTTAATTAAGGATATGATTGATCATTTGTTCTAAATGGATCGACTGACTGCTGACAATATTCTAATTATTTATATAATTAAAGTTGAAATTATGTATATGCTATACACATTTGACCAATATATTGAAATGCCCAATATATATAAAAGAATTGAATGTTTGAATAAGTACCTGTTAATCTTATATATACGTTGTAGCCCACCAACTAGTTTGACCCATGTTCGTGGGCAACGAACGACGTCCTATGCAATGAATGTTCGTAGACACGACCCACAAACAACATTTTAGAGTTCGTGGGCATCAGCCTGTAAACAAAGGATGTTGGTGGGTTGAAAATTATTGTTAATGTTGTAGTTAATGTATCAAGAAATACTTGAGCTCAAATGTACTAGATATCTCAACATTAATTTTGGATTTGTTGAAATTGCAGTAAAAGTCAAAAGCCATAATGTTGTCCAGTTTGATGTCGATGATAGATCACTCTATATATAGGTTTATAGAAGAGTAAGCAGATGAAGTCGAATTTAGAGAACTACTTATATTGTGTTATAAAGACCTAGCCTATACTGTTACGTACCTGAACTAACTATAACTAAACAAATGTCTAATTAAAACACAATATCCGATGTTGACGGTCCGACGGTCCGAGCGGGCAAAATTGTTGGCGGGCTACTTAACAATATAGACGTATACTTTATAGTATATACGTATGCTCATTGCTGAACGGTGAACAGGACTAAACAACCGGTATATATTAAATTTTAAGTTACCTAATCATCCCACGCCCCACGCCAACCTACTAATCAAATCTAGTATTTTGCGGATAATTGTTCTTGACTTTCTCATGATAATGCAGTCAGTATTCTGAATACAGTACACAATTTCGACTTATTGACCAGACTTATATACTGATTGTTATCATTACTTTTCAAAGGCCGGTATGTGGGATGATAAGAAAATAGTTCGAGATAATAGTACTTTACCTTTTATTGGTCCACACTGTAACTGGTACAAAAGTGAAGGATCTATGGAATGATCCCCCCTATTTCCGTTGATCTTATAAGAAAGGAAAATGTGTACTCGATTCTCTTCAGTTAAGCTTTCAAGAGAAACAGGTTTAAATCATGAGTTTACCAGTCACAAAAGTTGCTGCTTGTCATTTGGCTCCAGTTCTATTGAATAAAGAGGAAACTATAAAAAAAGTCATCTCTTCAATTGAAAAAGCAGCTGCAGAACATGCAAATATTATTGTTTTCCCAGAAACTTTTGTTTCTGCATTCCCAGTTTGGAGTACATGTAAAGCACCAATTGACAACCATGAACTATTTGTAAAGTTGGTTGAAAGCTCGTTGTATGTCGACGGTCCAGAAATTGAATCAATCAAAGAACTTTGTAAATCTTTGGAAGTTGTTGTCTTATTAGGATTCAATGAAAGATCTAGGGTCAGTGTTGGTGGATTATGGAATTCATATGTGTTGATTGATGAAAATGGTAATATTGGTGCTCATCATAGGAAATTGGTACCAACTTATTTTGAGAAATTATCATGGGCAAATGGTGATGGTTCTGGTTTGAATGTTGTTGACTCAAAATACGGTAAAATCGGTGCATTGATTTGTGGTGAAAATACGAGTTCATTAGCAAGATTCACTTTGTTAAGTCAAGGTGAACAGATACATTTATCTATTTGGCCACCTGCTGCTGATTATCAAAGACCTGGTACAGCAAAATCATTTGATAATATCACAGCAAATAAGATTAGATGTGGTATACAATGTTTAGAAGGTAAATGTTTTGGTGTCATTTGTTCTTCATTCCTTGATGAAGACACAATGGAATTTTTAGTTAAAGATGACCCATCAAACGAAGAATTTTATAGAAAACAATCACAAGGTGCAACCTTCTTTTTAGATCCTGCTGCTAATGAAATTGGTGATTTTTTACAACATGAAGAAGGTATCGCTTATGCTACATTTGACTTGAATAAAACAATAGTTCCAAAACAATTCCACGATCTTGTTGGTGGTTATAATAGATTTGATGTTTTTAAATTACGCGTGAATAGATCAAAAAACTCACCAATTGAGTTTGAAGATGAAGAGGAATGAGTTATTGATTGTATATTAAATTGATGGAATAAATATATGATTAATACAAATTTTTTATTGTTGTCTTTATTATAATTTTGAATGTTACCATATCCCAATTCACTTAGCACACATATGTTGAATTATCAACTGTGACACCATCCTCATTTATTTCCAACATTAGAATACCTTTATAATCCCTAAGATTTATATTCGTTATACCTAAAGGACTTTTTATTTGAATTTGATTTCGACATTCAACATCATATGACAATTCAGTAAAATCATCCTCTCTAGCATTATTGTCATATTTTTCGAAATTTAATGTTTTTTGTTGGTGATTAATAAAACTTATATGGAATTTATCACCAAATTTAAATGTTTTACCAATAACTCTTATCTTTGGTGGTCTTATTGGGAACCATTCAAGTAATGCTCTATGATAATTTGTCAGTGTTAAATCTTCATAATACATAGCAGGATTTGAACCATATAGGACAGTTACATTTGGAATCCTTTGTTCAAATGCATATCTGGATCTATAATCTCTTAAACGTGTGAATACTTTATTTTTAAAGTCATTAAGTTGCAGTACAAATGAAGCATTGTATGTTTGTAATTTCTTTGTTGAATCGGTGACGATTAAGCTGCAATTATCAATTACATTGGGTAATGTCTTTGATTCACCAATGATTTCATTATTTTTTTCATCATAAAATCTATAATAATATGATTGGTTTGGTTCCAAATTCCTTATATGAAGTTTTATAGTGAAATCAATCAATGAATTTGTATATGTGATGCCTGAAATGTGTACATTTTGGAAATTTTGATCTGTTGATAATTGGAAATAAACAGGTATCAAACTAGCTTTTGCCACTTTATTTCTTGGTGTAATTCTAGTCCAAAAGATAGTTGAAATTGATGATGAATCACCCGAAGCAACACCATGACGAAATTGATACTCTGGCCTTGCAATGAACAATGGAAAGTTTTGATATGGAATAACGTTTAATGCAGTTGGGTCTTCACTTTGATTATCGATTAATTGGAAGTTGATGTTTTCTAATGAACACGGTGAATTAATCAAAGAATCTTTATCATACAAAATTTTCTTTAAATACCACAAATATATTAAAAAAGACTTCAGGAAAGAAGTAATGAGCATCAGTTAACTTGTGAACTTGGATTAGATAAAGTATATTAGCACAAAATAATGTACATATTACCATGTATTAAGTTTTAACTCCATATAATAATATGAATAATTCGCGTGAAGTTTTCCCGTATAATTAATTATCTGGGGGACCGGTTACCGTCGGCAAATCTTCGACCAGCTTCGGAAACAAAAGCATATTATACGTACCTATATTTAAAAGACGGAAAGAGTATTACATAAGTATATAGTCATACTTCCTTTGTGATTCATCGACTAAAGATATCCCGTAAGATCTATTGTTTTAAACGATATGATCCATAATTTTGCTCCGAGTTTTCTGTTGTTTGGAATATGGCTGTATTGCAGAAGCTGACACATCACTTACATAAGCACTGATAAGAATTGATACATTTTTATCGAGCCAATCAAACTTCTTTCAAGCTCATCGACAATACGTAGCACATTTGATTACCTTGCCCTGTATATCGGCTTTCAAAGTATTGTGAATATTGATTAACCAATGATTAGCTCACTGTCCATTATCGCTAACTTAATGCCCCTAGTTGATTTTGGATCAACAGCACTTACGTTTACTCACTACTGTCTCAAAATATAGTTGTATACGTCCATATTATGAGAAATTTCATTTCAACTATATTATTACACTTGTTTTCATAAGGATTTAAATAATATTATTATATTATTAAGAGATCAAAGTTCATAAAAAACTATATTCAATTCATTAACCAAGTTAATAAACTTTGCATCATTACCGTTGGAAATAAATTAGCCAAAAAGAAAAGAAATTATTCATATATATCTTATCACATTTCAACTTATCAGTTTTCATTAGAGATCATTAATTGCTTCAAAATATATCAAAGGTGTATCATGAACAATAATCTGGAAGAGGATTCCTCTGCTGAGGCTCTTTGGAGAATGTATTCAAAAGCTAAAGCATCATTACCTTACAAAGAACGTATGCAAAATCTCACATGGAGAATGATGAGTATAAAATTCAAAAGACAACATATTTTACCTTCATTCCCAGAATCTTCCACTGCAACTTCACCAAAAATAAAAAAAAATGTCTTTGATGATAAACCAAAATATAATCCTGAGATAGCTAATGGTGATGAATATCTGAACTTATCTGAAATCCCAAGTCTTACAGCTACATCAACATTTTCAAACAATCATAACGAACCATCAAATTTAACAAAATTCTTTCTCGAGAATGAACAAAAATCGAAAATTAATTCTAATATCAAAACTGAACCAGAGATTGATCCAACTTCTGATGATTTTGATTACGTGGCTCATATTAAGAAGATTGGTCAACAAGAAGATCAAAATAATAATTTCACTTCAATTTCTTCAAGCTTTCATGAAAATGATTCTATAATGACTGATTATTTACCAACTAAAGATTCAAATTTAAATTCACAATCTATCCCAATATTAAACAACATTCATCCACATGCTATAAATGTCCCAAACTCGTCAAGCTACAATTCCAATTATCTTGATTCTCCAGGAAATGATTTGAATTCTTACTTGGATCCACTTGAGACTATAAGTAACTCTTATGATCCACCTTCAAATTTCCATCATATTTCAAACAGTTTCAGTGAATCACAAAATTATTTTAATAATATGTACAATACACAAGCTACGAATTCACCAGTTTCATCATCAGCACATACTCCAATAATGAATGATGGTTCTTTTTTTGAAAGCTATTTTAATAACAGTGGTAACAATGCATCATTTGCAAGAAACAACAACAATCAAAGTTTTGCAAGCAAATTCAGAAGGGTACCATCTATGACTTCAATAAACAATAATAACATCAATGATGATGAGACATTGATGAACGGAAATGATTTCGTTTCAAACCTATCCTCTTCATTAAATTCAAGAAGGCCTTCTACAGCCTCAACTATAAGGAAAAAGGCTAATATTCCATCAAAACTAACCAAAGCCAAGAAGAACGTTTCATCGACTCAGTTATCAGGTATAAATGTTTCAGGAAATAATTTATCTTCTTCAGCTCCAAATAAAAGGGAAGACTCAACTTCAAATGCTAATACAAGATGCACAAATTGTAACACACAAACAACACCTTTATGGAGGAGAAACCCTGAAGGGCAGCCTTTATGCAATGCTTGTGGGTTATTTTTAAAGTTACATGGTGTTGTTCGTCCCTTATCCTTGAAAACCGATGTCATTAAGAAGAGACAAAGGGGTTCAGGAAGTACTTCAACTGCTTCAAACAACAACAACAACAACGGTAATAATGTTAACAATCAGCCATTTTCACCTACTAAGGTAGATTCAAAATTGGGTAAAAAAGAATCATCAACAAATAATAAAAATAAACCCACTGTTTCAAATACATCAAGACAATTTAAGAAAAAGACACCTGGACCTTCATCACAACCAACACCTCAACGTACACCAACTAGTGCTAGAGGAGAATCGAACGAAAATTCTCCTTTTAGTGGAAATGCTGACAATGAGTTCCTACAAGATGATCAATTCATTCATCACTCTAATGATCAACTTCTCAATGATTCCGGTGGGTTTCAATTCAATACAAATATAGATTTTGATAATCAATTTGGTAATAATACGGTGAGCTCCTCAAAACTGGAATCCAATTTTACCACTACTAATAATAAAAATGGTGAATCAGGAAAATCCGGTTCAAACAATAATTGGGAGTGGTTATCTATGGCGTTATGATTTTTAAGTTATGATTTATTTTTCCTTCTTGGTTCTTTATTTTGGATATGTGAAGTGGGCAACGTTCTAGATACTTCACAATATTGTATCATTCATTTGGTTTTACTTTTTCACTAATTCAGTTAATTATTAAATAGCATTGATGATCTTTCAGCTATATATGATCACATGTTAAGTAGAATAATCATGTTAATATAATTTATAGATTGTACCCTTTAATATATCAATTTACCTGTTCTATTAATACTTAGTGCTATATTTATATATATGATATATAATTATTAGATTTTATTTTAGCATCGACGAATATTATTTTAAATATTTTATAATTTATTTGGAGATCGAAGTTCATCAGCTCTTATAAAATTGATATAATATTATACAATATACGTAAATTGTACATGCCGGAGTGCAACACGGGATTTATAATAATATTATTTCTTCTATCTAGCTATAACTTAATCGATTGAATGATCAGAGGTCGACCATATATTAACTGTTCACCAAACGTATAATTAAGTAGATTATAGTATAATCTAACGTACTTTTCATGCGTGTTGGTTATATATAAATGATTCATGCCCAACATGATGATAATGTACCCCATTTCACTTAGCAGCAACTACCAAGGTTTAGCTCTTCATAAATTCAAAGGTACAACTTTTTGATGCTGTTACGAGTACCGGCCAGTTAATTAATTAAGTATATCGACGTCGACGATGATAATATATATTGTACTTGTACTACATAATGGTTCGATTAGATTTTTTTAGGAAAACATATACGTTTTAACTAAAGAAAATATAAAAGAAAATTAGACAACATGAACATATCGATAAAATAACATTTATATATTCAATTACGGTTATCTGATGTTTCCTTACTTTGATTGTGTCTTTCTGGGTCAATATCAGTTTGTGATGATCCATTTGGTTGATTTTCCTCATGATGATTTTGGGATGTGTTGGTAAATTGTATTTGTCCATGACTAGAATGATCAGATTTAACAGTTACGCCGTTAATATCATTATGATTATCACCGCCTGATTGTGGTGTTTTGGTTGTATCTATGAGATTTATTTGCCTTACTGACATATTGCCATTATCGGTATTATTATTTCTTAGTGTTTGATTTTGAGTCAGTAGCGAATTTAACATTGAATTAGTGGAATCAATATGACCATATCTGTTGTCAGTTGTCTCTAAAAGATTTCCCATGTTTGAAAGCCTTAATTTCTCTATATGATTAGCAGCTTTTTCCTTATTAGTCTTCAAAGCGGAATTCAGGGCTTTAGGGGGTCTTTTCATATTTGCAACAGCTTTTGATATAAAATTGGGGTCATACTGATCATTTTTCAATTGGTAATTTGAATAGTCATTCAAGTCCAACGCCCCTGTAGTAAACGTTGAAGATTTGGAGATTATGGATCTTTGTCTGGAGCCAGAATTTGAACCGTATGGTGTAGTTTCTGAGTAATAAGTGGTATTTTTTATTGGTTTAAATTGATTTACTTGATGAACTTCCATATTAGCCAAAGGATGCAGCTGGCTAACTTGTTGGTTGTAAAACTGAAGTTGATTATATGGTTGTACTTGTTGTAATTGTGTTGTTTGTGGGCTTTGAAGGTGTGTGTTCTGCGAATGTCTCACATGGTGTAATGGCTCTGGATATGGTTGAAGTGAATCTTTAGGACATTGCTCAATTGAATTTCCAGGAATCTGACCGGCAGTTTTTCCTCCAACTGTTGAATTTGATAGTCTAGAACTTTCATGGTTTTGTTGTAGTTGATTTAGTGGTACTGTATCTGTAGATTCTTCATTTCCATTTGGTCTAAATTCACCTTCAGGGTCATTATTAAATATAGGAGCCTGTTGTGCATCATAATATAAAACAGCAATATCTTCTTGTAATGAAATATTTGTATCTTCCTCGAAATCTTCACTTTTCCTGCCAACATTATTGAATGGGACCTTATTAGCGCTCATCTCATAGTAAGCTTTTAATTATTATACGTAGATTTCTAAATTCCACTATTGAATTAGCATGCAAATCAACACTAGTACCGCCAGTTTCAAATAATGTAACGTCTCTGATTAGTGGTAACCAAATATGGATATATCTCAAGTGAATATTCAATGAACCACTTGTTTCTTCAAGTGGATAGAAATCTAAATCTCTTAATTATATAAATAAACTGCAACCTAGCGCCAGAATAGTTTTTGAGATCAATGATATAATAATATGTTCAAACCACCACCAAACGGATCAGAAGCTGTATAAGCCTATATGTTGACAAAAAAGAATAACCAGCTTGCAAATAATGAGTGTATACCTCCACAAATTCTCATGATATATTCATATCCTTAATTTTTTTTTTTTTTTTTGTTTTTGAAATATTACTTTGTATATGTGTTTGTGTCAGCGGTAAAGTGATATTAATACACCCGCACTTGTGACAAGATACTGAAATCCGAAGTAATTTTTGTAGTTGGTAATTATTATACTTATATAATTTATGAAAATGTTGAAACATATCTCGGTTTTATATTATGTATGTATATATGTATATATTGTGTTTTGAAGCTCCAAAAATCTTGGATTTCTTCTCTTTAATAAAAAAAAAATACAAAAATTTGGCAATTATTCTTTTTGGAATTCATAAAATCATATAAAATAAATTAGTTTTGTTTTTTTGCGTATTGTTCTTCAGTACCATACACTCTATCATCGTCTCTACCCTCAACAACATCCTTGATCGCTTCCATTTTAGACACTTGGTCTTTCCAAGTGTCTGTTGATTTTTTCTTATTCTTGTCAAATAATTCTCTATCTGGTTCTCTGTATGATTTACCAATTCTATCCCATAATGTAGTGAATTGTCCATAATTATAGTTGAAATACAAATGGTGTACAGTATGACAAGCTGCACCGTTGATGACTGGGTCATTTGCCATGTATTCACCATCGTGAATCATAACAGTCCAGAAATTAACAAATGTGAATAATAAAAGGTAACTCAATTTATGTAGAGGAAAAATGAAAGGATAAACATGATATGGCAATGATTGGAAATAACCATCAACTGGGTGGAAAGCATGTGAAGCATATGGTGTTGTAACTAACCATTTATGATGAGGTTTATGTAACAATTTGTAAACCTTTGGCCAATGTAACCACCTGTGGATCAAGTAAATGAACAAATCTGTAAACATGATAAAAGCTGGGTATTGTAACACGATTGATATCCAACCACCTCTGACTGTGTTCACATCCCAATATAATTTTGAATAACCTTGTAATTCAATTAAAAACCATGGAACGGTTAATGCAACCATCATTGGAATAGCATTGACGGCTTGTTGAATTTCTAAGGACATTTGATTCTTTAAATATCTTGGATGATTGAATATTGCTTTATCAAAAATGAAGATATAACTAAAAGTTGCAACACCAAGGTATAATAAAAGGCCAAAAATCCACATTACTAAGAATAAAGTTATAGATTGTCTGAATAAATTGGTTCTTGGTAATAAAGAAGCATTTGTATAAACAGAAGTATCAAACCAGACAGGGAAATGACCATAAACTTCATTTTGTTGTAATTCACTCAAAACATGATTTAAAGCCGAATTCTGATTGACATTGATTAAAGCTTGAGTTGGATCATGGGCTAAAACTGCTTTAAAAGTATCGTTTCCTAAATCCAACGATTTCTGCAAAACATGAGGTATATGTGAAGATAAAGATGCTGGAAACAGTTTAGCATAAGCAAAATCAAACACATAAGCATCCAAGCCTTCCAGTACTAAATCCATTTTGTTTAGAATATATATGATTGATCACTCTAGCAAGAAAAAAAAAAAGAAAAGGAATAAACACACGCTTGAATATATAGAACCTTTTTGTTAAAATGTGAATATGAATGTAACTTGGTTATGATTGAATGAACGAAGTATTCAACGGGTATCTCGTAGCAAAAGAATGGATTTCAAATTCAAAATAGAAGAGAATAATGAGATGAGGATGGAGTTTATAAATTATATATAAATTTCCAGGTGTGTTTATTTAAACGAGAGCCGATGCTCAAAATCTGAGAGTATATTTTTTTTTTCTGAATGTTTTGTTTTCGTTTCGCGTCATGACACCACAATGTGAATAAACGAGCTCTAGTTAAACGACGGAAACGGTAAAAAGAAGTGCAAAAGGTGTTGGTACTTTATAAGTGGAAGTTCCTAATAATACTATTCTAATTTCACATGTCCCTATATTCTTCTGTACATTCCATGATCCCAACTGTTAACTTTCAGCTTGAAATAGATTTGTATAAACTTCAGTAGCAGCTCGTTTAAACTTCATAGCTAAAAGTTGATTGAAGCTGTACGTAAAAATCATAGATTTCTGGTTAGGGCAAAATATACTACATACTACTAGGAGTCGCGATCGTAAGCGGATTACGGCCAAATTACTATAAGAATGTGGTAATGTGGTCCTAGAAAAATTATATTCGTAAACGGATTATCGGGATTTGAAACTGTGTGTATAGCTAGTAACTAGTAGATAAACGATTACGAATATATAAACTTATAACTCATATATATATAACAAATGATACATTGAACATGTTGACTCATATAAATGATCATTTTAGCTAGTATACATTATATATGAGGAGTCTTTTTATATTCCTGGTTCTATTTCTATATTATAAAGTTGAATTTTTAATCATAAGCTCATTAAATGTATTGTTATTATAAAAGCTTTGTTGAAAGCCTGAAAAGAAAATAAAATCTTTATATGTCATCATTTGATTATTCACGGGTAGCTTTGAAATAGTCAGTGACTCTTCTTCCTCCATCGTAATAAAGCTCCAACTCTTTTTGTAAATCTTCCCATTTTGGTCTATTTAAATCACCTTCTTCACGATCACCTCTTGAAAGAAGATCTAGTCTTAACCATTCTAAAGCTAGTGGATGAAGTGAATTAATAGCTTGGATTTTGATATAATCATCTTCAGTCGTTTTAATTACTGGTTCACTTAAATGTTGTTGAATATCATCACCATCATTACCATTTGTTCCTTCATACTGAATATCTTTGTTGTACTTTAGATTTTTCAAAATTTTACCACTTTGGATATGAATGACATTTGTGGGCCATTTACCTAACCCATCAAAAATATGTGTTGCGTATATGATTGAGCATTGTCTTGTTTCAGTTTCATTTTTCAAAAAAGATAATAACCTGGATCTCACCAAAACATCCAAATCCACAGTCACCTCATCTAACAATAAAACTTTCCAAGGCTTTAAAAGTCCCATAGCCAATTGGACTCTTCTTCTCTCACCATCACTTACTTGATGCATTCTCCAACTCAAATCGATATCCAACAACTTAACCAACTCATCTCTTCTTTCTTTATATATAGCTCCACCTATTGAATCAATTAGAACAGTCACAGGAATGTCTCTACGGACAATTGGATTTGAAGCCCATTCTGTCCCCAGGTATGTTGTTATATTTGATGCATCAGAGCCACCTCTAAATGGATCATGCCCTCCAATCGAAATCTTCCCAACGGTACTTAAAGTTTTACCAGCTAATAATTTCAAAAGTGTTGATTTACCAGCACCATTGGATCCAATTAATAAAGCTCTTGAGTTCCATGGCAATTCAATCGTGATGTTTGCAAGTCCAACTTTACCATTGCTGAACTTATAAGTTAAATGATCTGTTTCGACACTAAATTCTGTACTTGCCATTTTCAAGTTCTCAATCATAAATTTGATTATAATAGTTGTTCAATAACTCGTTACTCCCACCCCTTGAAAAAGGGAAAGAAAATAAAATAAAATAATTAAAAAAAAAAAAAAAACACGCACACACACATTACGCGAAACGATTTCAACAAGTGAACACATCAAACATATAATAATCAAGTTTCAAATTAATTAACTGAACGTTTTCACAATTTCTTTATTTGTTTAATAACTACTAGATATGGGATTGGCTGATGAGGATGATATCTTCAAAGGTAACGAGGTGCCTTTAGATGACGAAGAAGAAGATGAGGAAGAGGAGGAAGAAGAAGAAGAAGAATTAGATAATAACGAGGAAGAAATTGAAGGCGATGATGATGAAGAAGAAGAAGAAGGTGAAGCTGAGGAGGAGGAAGAAAACGAAAATATTGAAAATGAAGCAGAAGGAGGTGCTGAACTTGCAGATGACAATGAAATCACAAGAGAAAGTGAAAACAAAACACATAATCTACCAAATGGTGATGTTGAAATGGTTGACGCTACTAAACCTACAGAGAGTGATATTATCTCAAAGGAAACCGAGTCAAATGGTGATATTCCTTTGGATGATAATGCGAAGCTTGAACAGTTTTATAATCAAATGAAATTTAAAGCAAGATTATCAGAAACTTATGATGTTAATCCATTTGTTGCAATACCTTACTCATCTCCAATCAATGCTTTTGAATTATCCAAATCCTCTAAATGGTTGTTTACAGGTGGTGAAGATGGTTTCATAAGAAAATATGACTTTTATGGTTCAATTGAGGGGCAAGTGCAACTTACTGCTGCTCAAAAACACTCTTTGGTTGATTCTATCTCAAATGGTGGTTCGTTGGTTAGTTATTGGGAAAATGAAATACCCATTAAAAGATCAGCAGCTAATAAGGATAATTATGAGCCAGCTCTATCACCGGTTTTCTCATTGGCAGTGGAGAAAAGATGCTTGTGGTTGTTGAGTGGCCTAAAATCTGGTGGTATAAATCTTCAATCCGTGCGACATAATGAAGGAACGATTGTTCATCATTTCAAAGGTCATAACGACACAGTATCTGTTTTGAAGCTAAATGAGTATGAAAATAAGTTTTTATCTGGTGGATGGGATAAAGTGATACATAACTGGGATTTGAATACTGGTGAAATAATACAAAAATTCACAGAGGCCACGGGTCAGATAAGTTCTATTGAATATAGACCAGCTAATGGATCCCATATAGAGACTCAGGTACCCAATGAAGATGATGATATGGACTCACTGTTCGGGAGTGACGAAGGTGATGATGGTGTCTCTAAGTCAAATGACAATATAAATAAAAATGATGATACATATCAAGGAAACACAGGTACATCTAACTATGATGAAAACATTTTTATGTCTTCTTCGATTGATGGATCAATTAATATATGGGATTTAAGAACATCGAGACAAGTTTTGAGACTGAAATCCCCTAAGGGTACACCTCCCTGGTGTGTTTCAGCATGTTGGTCAACCGATGGTGATTTCTTATATGCTGGTAGAAGAAACAGTACAGTTGATGAAATATCATTAAAAATGCCATTAGATTCAAAGGGTGAAACAAAGACATCCAAAGTCTTGAAGTTCCCTCAAGTTTCAGGAGCTGTCACAGTTGTAAGACCATTACCAAATGGAAATCATGTTTTATGTGGTTCACATGATAATATTAGAATTTATGATCTAAGGCTTTACGAGGAAGCTCAAAGGAAAACACCATTCTTAATTGTTCCTGGACACCATGGTGGTGTATTATCCGACGTTCAATTTGATCCAAGTTATAGATATATGATAAGTGCAAGTGGAAATAGAGGGTGGCAGGGAACAAGTACAGAAAATGTTTTTATTTACGACGTCGAGTTACAATAGTGAATTGTTATAATTATAATTGAATTCTTCTTTTTCATGCTCTTTTACGTTTATTCATTAAAAAAATTTAGGTAGTAAATCTCGAATTGGTCGTATTCCAATGTTAATTATTTCACTATGAGTGTTCCATAACTGAGTAATGGGTGTTTGTAATTGAAATGCTTCATTTTTCTTCAAAATAATATTCAAAAGAAGGCCTATTATCCCGATAGTTAAAGACATTTTGAATAATGTTTGATTTTGTTTCTTAGCTAATGCGTCTTTGATCGAGAACCTAGTAGCTTTAGAAGAAGGATCCGTTATTTTCGATCCCTCGACCTGGTCTTCCAATATAGCTTCTGTGATAAATGCTAATCTATCCTTTATTTCTTTTATATCAAGATCATTAATCAATGGGCTAGTTCTAAGAACACTATTTCGCTGAATTTGATGGAATGGTAATAATTTTTCTAAAGGAGCTCGTTTTGTAATTTTGGTACAGTCTTCAAGACTTTGCTCAATAGTGTTTTTCTCAATATTCAGGATAAATTTAGATAGTACATCATGTATAACATCTTGTTTAGTAAAACAATCTTCCTCCTCCATCAATGAAATTTTCTGAAAAATGTTCTCCTTTTGACTTAACAGAAGAGAGATATAGTAGTAAATTATTATCCCTAACGAGCCGTTTGCTAGTATACCATCAAATATTTGAGATATTGAACTGAACGAAGTGATATTATGAGAAAACAGCGTTATTAGAGGTGATATTGCATAAAATGGTTCGATATCACCCAATAACAATTCATTATAAATCTGTGCATCAACTTTCTGAACCAATGGTGGAATGAGTTTCAGGATCTTTATAGATTCATTTATGCTGGGCATCATGAAATCTCTTAGATATAACAAAGTGAAATTTTGAACACATTGGAAACATAATTCCATTTCATTACTGAAAATCACTAGAAAGACAGAGCAAATATCATGATATCCCTGGTAATAACATAACTGTGGATTCTCTCTTAAAATCCGTAAGATTAAATCATTTAGCTTTGATTTCAATTCAGTTTTAACGCTATCTGATCCGTTTTCTGCGTAATATATGAACGATCTATCAACATCTAATGAAACCTGATCTTCGTCCTTATGTTGGGGTTTGGACTTCCAATCAACAGAATATCTTGAAGCACATAGGCCATGAAATTTCTCCATATCAACACCGAGTAATAAAGGCCACGCTTTCTTTCTGAAATTACTATTTATAAGACCACCTTTAGTCTTAGCTAAAAATTGTACAATTTTATAATCATTCAGATCAATTGCAGTAGACAAGCTTGGTTCCTTAAGACTATCATTTGACTTAAATAAAGTGGAGTCAACAATAGAATTATCAAGTTTCATGGATAGAGTATCCCAATCCGCAGATGAAACGCTCATGATATCCCATTAATATAATATTTGTTTGCGTTTCACTTTCAGTCAATAACACTACTTTGAAGAGAAATGGATTAATTATTGACACAATTTTGGCTTTGATGTTTTTGTTCGAAAACAATACTGACATTTACGCCCAACCGCCAATGCGTTTCTCAAGTTACGCAGATCAAAAGTCCATACACGAAATTACACTGGCACATAAAATGTCGTTTGACTTTAAAACAAAGACCAATACAAAAACCACTTGGATTCCCCAGATTATAATCATCAAAGTTTAACTTGCGTTCATGAACATCTACCAAACTAGACGAGGATAATGACAAATGGGAACCGCTATAGAGAAAGGCATTTTATTAGCGGAGGTAGATTCAGCAGTGTCTATAGAGCTACAGATCACAATGATGGTACGTTGGTCGCACTAAAGATCACTACACCAGAAGAAGATAGGCCTCCACATAACTCACGGGATGAATTGAAACTTTTGAAACTAATCAAGCAGAGCGGTGGATGTGATTACGGGCTATTGCATATTCAGGATAGTTTCTTTGCAGATCAGATAGACTTAGTTATTGTTACACCCTATTTACCGTTCACATTAACCCAGATTTTGCAGCATAATTCAGTCAAGATTAGGCCTAAGTTTAATCCATATTTGGAATTAGGAAGTCGAGATTCAGATGAATCAAGAAATGACAATGTTCCCACTTTTAAGAATCAGCTCAGTGATGTTAGAGCAAGAGAAATTATTATGGGGATCGCTCGTGGATTGGACTTTTTACATTCCAATGGTATTATACATAGAGATATTAAACCTGCTAATATCTTATTTCATAATTTGACATCAAATCCTACCATAATAGACTTTGGAATTAGTTATGCTTATCCAGACAACTTTGGAAAAGAACCTTCAAATAACAAAATTCGTGATATTTCCACCTCGATATACAAAGCACCAGAACTGATATTTGGTATTTCTGATTACTCGTACGGTGTTGATATATGGAGTTTCGGTATCATGATTTCTTCTTTTTACACTGATGACATAGAGCCTGTTTTAAAAAATGAAGGTTCGGTTAGTGATTGGACATTAGTGTCACAAATCTTTCAGAGTTTTGGTGTACCAACACTAGATCAATGGCCAGAGGGAAGGAAGTCAAGCACATTCGGAAAGATGAATGCTAATCCAAGACCTGGGAAAGATGTTGATTTATTAATACCTCGAGCGGATGGAAAAGTCAAAGCACTTTTCAAGAAAATGATGGTTTTTGAGTCCTCAAATAGAGTTGGAGCTAAAGAAATCATCAATACTTTATCAATACTTTGATTTGATCGCTATTATGGCTCTTCATAAGTGCTGTTACTACGAAATTAATATTAATGTTGCGTGTTTGTTTTATTAAGGCTACAGCTTCTACATATACAACTGTTCTAATTCATATCATATTTGTAACTTTTCATTCATATCAGTTCAAAATTGGGCAATTATAATTACTGTATATTTAAGATGTGTGACTAAAGATTTTCATTTTCAAATTGCCTCTCAAGCTTCATGAATTCCACTAAATCATTAACTCTATGGATTTCCCGATTACTAATTATATTCTCTTTCTCTGACTCGTACAGGGAATCGTCATTGTTCACGTAATATCCATTCTTATAATACAGTAAATTCTCATTTGGTATCTTATAATTTGGTGTGTCACCGGCAATTGTTGAAATTTCACTATATTCACTATCACTTGGATTATTATCTTGAAAATGGAAATCTTTCAATGCTTGCAGTCTACTCTTTTTGTTCTCTCTAACTGCTCTTTTGATCCCATTTCTGATCTTTGGTGTGGCTATCTCATTGTTCTGATTTAATGAATCTAAACTCTTCACACCTAATGGCGTTGACCTTCTGGAAATTGGTGACCCCTTATTTGTATCAGTGAAAATATAGTGTTCTTGTTTCTCTTGGTTATCAATCACATCATTAAGTGTATCACTTGGTTGAAACTTGAAATGTTCAGGATCCAATTTCTTGACTTCATCGTCTTTCAACCCGTGGTTTATATTTGTATTTTGATGTCTATTGTCTCTTTCAAATGAGGACAGTTGCTTTTTGACAATATTTCGTTGAACGAGGGTTGGTGTGAGTGGAGTTGAAGGACCTCTTTTTTTTGAAGTTATTTCTGGTTGACGACCATTACTTTCATTTGAAAGCATTCGTAGTCTTGATGGTGTTGATGTTGTATTTGTAACATTTGATTTCACAAAACCACCTTCCGGTGTATTGATGTATTCTTTCCATTGATTCTCTGAATCAATACTTGTTGTAGTCATTTTCAGCTCGTTTTGTTGTTTATTGTTGAAATAATTGTAATCCTTCATAATAATTGTGGTTGAAACTTGTAACGGAGAATCAAGTATTGTTTTCAAATCCTGTATATATTTCTGTTGTTTATGTTTTTTCTTGAAATTAAGATCATTGTTTTCATTTTTCTACATCCGGCCGTCACCACATCACGATAAAAAACAAATGAATTTAAAAAGAAAAAAAAATTAATACTACGTACACAACTACACAACTACCAGACAAAGTTCTATAATAAATAAATCAAAGCATATTCATAAATTCATTAACCATAAAAATCTTATTGGTTTAAGGAGATCCCAAGGTATCTCATGTTTAAATCATCATCATTACTCAAATCATTAATGAACACTTTCAAGTTCTTGTTAAATTCACCAAAAAGACTCAAAAGATTGCTGTAGATTATGGAAAATCGTTCGTTAACGTTATCCCTAATCGAAGAAATATCATCAATACTATCTTGTATGCCTAATTCCATCACCAAGTTGTTGAACTCCTTCACAGTAACGGCAAACTTAAAAACTAAATTCGTTAAACCATTTAACTGTGATATATATAACTTATTAGAAATCTTTCCTTTAGCTGAAGAACTTGACCCATTGATTAGCTTATGTTTTGTTATAGAGATCAAAAAACCATAGTGTAGTTCTTTTAAAGAATCCATCGATTGTTCTTTGAATAGTTGATCATTCCTGGTACTTGGACTTTTATTTATATGTGACATATAACTTTTGGAAGGTATAAGCACATCATCTGCTACTTTAAAAGCGTTACCTGTTTTTGTTGTTGAAAGCTTTGATTGTGGGTCTGATTTTTTTAAATCATCCAAAATCGATGCATACGCTGTATTTATTATTTCCTCAAATATGAATCTCTGTACTGATAAAATGAATCCTCTTAGAAAATTTTGGATCAATACAACTCTGTTGATCCTTCTGTAGAATACTTTATTCTTCCTCAGTATGTTCCTAGTATTCATCTGTACTTTCCATTCATTTTCAAGCAAGTACTCTAACCTTTTAAATTTCCACAAATAGTTAAACACTTTCAGATATTCCTTTTTCTGTGTATTGTCTGGTGAGTTCAAAATCTGATCTATTGGTGGCTGAAGCTGATAATCTAGGGTGAATACATCCCATCCTATATTTCCATGTCCTATCTCAAGAATTCTCGCATCTAGATTGTTAACATAAGTATTGAGGTGTGGTGTTTTCAACTTATATCTGACAGTTGATGATAGAACAGCATCTTGTAATAGTTTAGTGAGTTGGTGCCCAGACAGTATAGATGAAGGATCATTCAAAAGATCACTACCAAACAATATTATTGATTGTATAAAATCACCTTTACCCATGAGTAAATAATCCTTGAACGCTGCTAAATTATTAAACAGCCTAAATTTGGTATACATTGTGTCTGTGAAATAGCTTATTATATCTTGGTAATTTTCATCCACTAGTTGAGAAAATTGAAAATCATTATAAATATGTGATATTTTATTTCTGTAACTGTCAATCTTGAAGCTCAATCTTTTGGAAAAGTCATTCACCCATGACGTCTCATTGCAAAACATATTAAGGAAATTGCGAGTTTTACCTATTAGATAGCACTTGTAAGCCATTTCATCTGTGAGAAAGTTTGGAACTTTACTCTGATCATATTTGATGTTGACCGTATTATCCATAGTTTGTATTTCCGTAGATTCATAAATAAAGAACTCATTCGAACTTGTTGGAAGCTCACCATTCACAAGCCATGAGCGTAAAGTCTTCGAAAACGATTCAATTGAGTATATCAACAGATCCCAGGCAATACGCCTAATAGATAGATCACCGTGTGAGGTAAAATCATGTGCTAATGATAGAAGTTCATTGCCTGGTAGGTCATCCAGTTTTGCTGAGAAATAATGCAAAAATCTCAAGTTAACCAATTCATCACACAACTCAGCTGTCAAAGACAATATTGAAAATTGTGGTTTCATTGAGAGGTTATTAACGGTCCTTGTATATGCAGTGAGTTTTTCTGAGGTAAATGACATAACTGCATTTTTTATAGCAGAAGATATCCGCTGCTTTTTGAAGGCGTCCAGTTTCGTTGTCAAGCTCTGGTATAAAAGTCCACATTCCAAAATAATATGAACTATACCACTGGTACTATTTGTGAGATTTTCCATTAGGTTTATTGATCCATTTTCAATAGGAAAAATATTTGATGTTGTCCCTTCTAGTGTGAACGGTAGACTTCTCAATATATCTTCTTCCTTAACATGATTTTCTTGGTAAGGTATAAGAACTTCTTGTAAAGTATATTTCCTAGAGTCGTTAAATGTCCTATTTGGTGTAGCAGAATAAAGCGATCTTCTGTCAGAAAGCTTATCGAAATTGATATTTTCGAAAGAATCCCCAGCATTGTTGAACCCATGATGACTCTCGATAATTGATCTTGAATCCATATCCATATTGATTGTTTCTAAACGACCCAGATTACCACGTGATATTGGTAAAGAAGTAGGATTGTATATATCATCATCTTGCCTGGTGTACCCTTCAGGGGGAATATCTTTCATAGAGTTAATGAAAACCAAATACTTTGTGATATCTTCTGTGCTTTTGAATTTGGTTAATATATCAATTACATTCAAAAATTCAGTTATATTCAAGTCTGTGTCATTTCTTATTTTTGTAATTACGTCTTGAATATCATATAATTTTCTTGAATCTGATCTCAGCTCAATGAAAGTCATAAGCTCTTCAAACACTGTTTTTGAATATTCATCACCAAGCTCTTGGGGGACTAGTGAACGAACAAGGCGGTTCAGATAAATTCTCAGCAACTGAGGTCTTTCACCTGACATTCCCAAATATCTCACTAATGTTATATCAATAAATAACGTTTGTCTGAGTGGTTCTCTATTACCCAAGTTTCAAACTTATCGAAATTCTATCTATTAAAGATCAAAAAAGAGAAAAACGCGACATTTTTATTTACAAAAAAATACAAAATGTAAACAGAACAACAGACTTTATTGACTTCCCAATTAGGAAATGAAAATGACAAACATTGAACATCAAGATTAAGATCAAGATTCAAGAGTCAGGACTCAGAAACTGCTATAAGCTCAATCTCTCTGGTGAAAAAATCATGACTTTGTTTTTTGTAACCTAGTTCATGCATTCTCTCATTATATCTTCTCAGATGATAAAACTGAACAATGGCACGCAGTGCGATCTCTTGTCCATATGCATCTTTTAACTCACCATCTAGATCTCTACCAGATAACCAATTATCTCTCAATTGAGGTTTTAGGTGAAGGTACACCATTGATATCAGATCCATATTATGGGACTTCCATTTTCTTCCATTGAAAGGGGTTATATCTTTCACCATTTTCAAGATGGGCTTCCACAATGAGTTATTGATTAACAAAAAAAATGGCTTGAAAAACTTTGCAAGATCTTTTTCTGATAAAGAGATAATTCTCTGTGTCTTTTTATGACATACTAAGGACCCTATACTTAATAAACTTGTCAGATTGAAGCAAAATGTCACATCTACACCAGGAGTTGTTGCAGCTGTAAGATCTTTTTCTTGTATAGTCCCACAATTTTTCCAAAAAGAAAGTTCAATGGAATCCGTACTTCTATAGGTTATTCTTGAGTATAAAGAGTCCCCTAAAGATTTCAAATAATGCGCCATTATTCCCAAAAAATTTGAGTCATATACCAAGGTACTAAGGTACTCAAACTTGAGGATATGACTAACTTTAAACCATTTTAGTAACAAGATCAAACTGTAAATTGACTTTTTTAATGCAATATCTTTGATCCTTATAGTTTCCTGTTCAGTATCATTACTTCTCTTAAAAGCTTCCACGTTGAAAGAATCGTTGTTTTCTGTTGCACTTACGGCAACTTGTAGGATAACATGCACCAAAGAGGACAAATATGGTAAGGAGTCACCATAAAATTTCTCTACTCTTTCTAAAATTATTAGAGCTGTAACATCCTCGTCATTTTTAAATATGTCATTGTAATAGTCGAATTCTTCATTTGGATCTTGATTCGATTCTGTCCATCCTCTTTCTTGTTTCATAAAGTTATCTCTTTCACACCAAAGCTGTTTTAAACTCAATTTATCTTGTAATCTTGATGAGCACAAATGGGAAGCCTCCTCAATACTTTTAGGAATATTAGATGAAAGAGTATTTGTAGTTTCCTCTGTGGGATAAATAAACGGATAACTTTGATTTACCTGATAGGATCTTTTCGTCTTTGCTGCTTTATTAATAGGGGTTGAAGGTGGTGAAGGAGCTGGGGTGGAAATATGACCAGATGGTGGAGGAAGTGATGAGTTGGCTTTATGAGAATCCAGCGTTCTTGAAATGTTCAAGAATTGAGAAAGTGATGATGAATTTTCAAAGTTGTCAGGTAAAGTTGACGGTGGTGGTATTAAAGCTGGATACCTTGAGGTGATGTCATCCCTGAATGTATGATAATCCAGTGGTGTGGTGGTCAGTTTTGAAGTATCTTTCTCTTTAGAAATCCCATATTTTTCTTGAAGAACCGATTTCACTTCAGATCTCTTTTCAAAATCACCAAACAAGTATTGTAAACATTTACTGAACAATGAAATTATATTCCTTATCCTTAAAACTGGGGAGCTATTCCATTTCCAATGGTCAATGAATTTAACCAAAATCAATAAAATATTTACTTCTGTTAGTTGACTTGTGACTTTTCCATTTGGTTCATAAATATGAACAGAGATGATCAAATATAAGATGGTTGTCGAAAGAAATAGTATTTGCGAGTTGGCAGCAATTGGCTGTTTCTTTCCTTTCAAGCTCTCTATGGCCTTCTGTATTGTTTTGACTAGTGTTGGAATTAAGTTTTTAGATGCTAGAAGTCTGTTGTTGGAAATGATAGCCGCTTGGTGACTTTCGATGCTGGAATGAGCATGATAAGATCCCAACGATATAAAGACAATACATAATAATGAGTTTAAAGTTGTATCTCTATGTTGTAATTTCTCATTAAGAATAGTAATAAGTGCTGACTTTTGAATGTCATCTAAAGAATTGAAATCCGCTGAGCCTGTAAAACTTTTGAAAGCCCTCTTGAAAAGTGGTAACTGTTTCAACTCTCTTTCTGTGAACCATTCGTTAACTTCTGTTGATAGTGAGAAATTGTCACCATATACAAAATCAACTTTTGGTTTAGGTATAGAGGGAAATGAAGTTGTATTGATACTATTACCTTCACTTCCTGGTGTAAATTGATTGGCTCTTTCATTCAAAGAGTGCTGAAATTCCTCATCAACTGCCAAATTACTATCCGAGATTTCACCTCGCACTTGATCAACCTCATCAATATTGAGCATATCTATATCATCATTTGATTCTTCATCCTCTTGATTTTGTAGTATTTCAATTCCAGGTCTCTCCAATCCTTCAAACCTTTCCCTGATATGTTCAATATCAGATTCCGGACTCTTTGGTAATCTCAACTCAGGTGAACCAAGGTTTAAATGCAGAATACCAGATCGTAATGGGGACGATTCCGAAGATTCCGGTGATGGCATTGTTTCTTTTGGATAATATGTTTTAAGAAACAGTGGTAAGAAGGACTTTCAATTATGTTGTATTTTGTTTATAATCACTTATTGTTTTGACATCCAAACATTACCGCGATCTTCTTTGTTTTTTTTCGTGAATTTCCTTACACAGTACACACGCCCAAAGATATTTCTATATTGAAATAAATCAAATTGATAAGCTTCAAATTACCATCAGTCATTCAAACTATAATACCAGCAATCAGTTATTGTCCCCAGTAAATAAGCATTAGCTATGAGTGATGAATCGCTGCTGAAGAAACTTGACAACGTTTTAGGGTTACAGTGAGTGAAGTGTTCTATGTTTGATTTGAAGGCGGTAACTAACAACTATTTTTCTATCTAGAATACGTGTGGTTAATATTCTTGACACAGAGACTATTGGGACCCTTTATACATATATTTCCAATCCAGGGACGTTGATCCTTCAAGTTCCAACCACAACGGCAGCAGGTGCAACATACAATTATAAGTTTCTACGTACTTCTAATATCAAAACAGTTGAAGTTATTTCCAAATCAATTGATCAAACAAAGATTGTTAAAATTAATGAACTTGATCCAAAAAAAATTCCATCTGTAATCAAGAGAAATACAGAAGCTGTTGAATTGAAAAAACTGACACAAAATGATAAAGCCACCAAAGAAGGTCAACATATATTTAATACTCTTTATAAGACCATGCCAACCGTGAGATGGAAGGACAATTCAATCATCATTTTAGATGAAGTTAAAATAAACCCACCTTACCAACTACAAGAGGTAAAGTCTATTATTAATGATCAAGATCCTGAAGAAAGTGATGCTATTAGATTGGTGAAGAAAATAGTTGACGGTGTCTGGTTGAAAGTTGAGTCACAACGAAAAGGAGGTTGAATAACTTTGTGTGGATTTAATAAACGAGGTCATGAAAAAAGACATGTAATTTTATATATTATCCAGCGTTTTCTCATTCAGAATTGTTACTGGTTCGTTAACTTATATATCAATCAATCTTATTTTGAGTTCTATAACTTCGAAACATTGTTTTCCTTTGAAAGATGTACCTTTAAACCCATCCATTCTATTCCAATTGAGACGAACCATCATCGTATTTTGTTGACTATGGCATATGGACTTATATAAATACCAGTGTAAATTAAACCACGTATAAACTGCATTAAGAGTTACCCCTGTTCTTTCAACTGGCTTGATTGTCAATCGTATATCTTGATCTTCGATGAGCAAGTTAATTTTATACATGGAATACTCAGGTGTTTGTGAAACAATATATGATTTAGAGTCTAATTCAAAGTATCTCACCAGTTCATCATTTGATGAATACCCATCAAAGTTGAGTAACAAAGGTGTATATGAGTTCTCAACATGAAATATCTTGATGGTCTCAATATAAGCTATCTTTTGAGGTTTATAACTTCTGCACTTGGAATATAACTCACAATATGATAGATACTCAAGTTGTGAGATAATTGAAACACCATTACCAAATCCTGGCTTCATTCTTTTTGATGTGAACAATTCACATGCTTCATTTTTGGTGAAGTTTAAATATAACATCAAATAAGCACATACTACTAAACCTGATCTACCTTTCCCCATTTTACAATGTATCACTACAACATTTTCATAATCCTTCTTGAGAAATTGGTCAATAGAATGCAAGCAGTTCAATAATAATTTGAACGATGATGGTTGGTGATCGGGCCATGGAAAATGGAATATTTTATCTTGTAACTCCCTTGAATTCAAAGAATAATCATTTGGGGACTCTAATTTTAAATTCCATATAGACCAATGATTCCGATGTTCAATCTGAAGATAGTTGATAAGATCATTTATTGAATTGCGGTAAGCCAATTTAGGGTAACTTGAAACTGGGCATGAGCATACAATAATTCTTTTGGTAATGTAAGACAGATCTAAATGAATTCCATAATCATTATGTAGTGAATTTGTAGGTGCTGATAAAAGCTTCATGAGGAATGATCCCATAACCATAGTGAAATCGACCCAGAATCAAATAGCTATGTTACATGGCACAGATTCATTTCATGTAACAAGATCTTTCAAATAATTTAAATACCATTCGTTACACAAATAAGTAAATAAAATATCACTATGATGCGCGAAAATATATTAACATCTGTGATTATATAATAATTACATCAGCTATGACAGGGTGCCCTCCAAATTGCGCGAACTCGCGAATTATTATTCCTTGACTTTTTTTTTTCGAAGTGATATAATCCAAAATCAAACCCAAAGATCAAGCAAGTTATACTTAGATAAACACTTCAATAACCAATATTTATATTTTATAATGGTCAAATTAACTCAAGTCGAAGACGAACAAGAAGCTATTTTCCAACAACAAGCTGCTAGCGAAGCCAAAGAAGCTGCTTCAACTGCTTATGATGAAGAATCTGATTCCGATGAAGATGATGATGAATTCGACGAAGATGAAACTTTATATGATAGAATTGTTGCTTTAAAAGATATAATCCCACCTCATCAAAGAACACAAGTATCAAATATCTTCTCAAGTGCATACTCAACCGTTTACTCTGGTGTTTCTAAAGCTGGTAATTTCACATGGATCTTCACTACAAGTGCTCTTCTATTAGGTGTTCCATTATCTTTATCAATTTTAGCTGAACAACAATTATTAGAATTGGAAAAAGAATTCAAATTACAACAAGGTGCAAATGATATCTTAGCTCCAGGTGCTGAACAACCACAACAACCAGGTGTTGCTGCTCCAGCTCCAGCTAACTAGAATGCTGATTTATGATGGTATTATCATATTTTGCTTATTATTTTAACAGGTTCTTTTTATAGATTCAAGTGATGATTTTGGATCTTAACGGAAATACATGACTTTTGTACATATTACTTTATCAAAACTATATATATTTTTTTTTTCTCTATATTAAGTCATTTTGTGATAGTTGTAATTAAGTATATTTCTATATAAATTATTTCAATTGAAAAAGTTATGCACTTTTTGGATGTTTAATACTCAAAGCATATATATCCAAATAAGTTGTAATTTCATAAATAATTTCCAGAACAAACAAAGAGTAAAACCCAAGACTTAACCCAAATCCTGTCCAGATTAAATCACCTGTGATGGAATCTGCACTATAACCTAATCTTGTTAACAATGAATAAATTAAAAATTCTGCAAATGGAATAAACAATGATGGTGTAAAATTTGGGAATTTTTGTAATGTCAAGTGGCCAATGATGATTCTTCCAACGCTGAAGGCTAAAGTCAATCCAACAGTAAGAACAAATGGTAATAAATATTTTTCAATAATTATCGGGTTATATAAAAGCCATGCAAAAACAGTTGAATAATACCCGAAGAATGGTGATAGCCCTTTCAATGCATTGAAATAGTCTTTTGAACTTTTATAATGTAATTCAACATTTCTTCTAGCACTATTTATATTGAAATATAAGCCAATAACACCGAATATAATATAAAAAGTTGTAAATGTGACTTTAAAATCAGAATCCAATTTTAAAAATGATAAGTTGATTTCAAAAAATTCAATTTTCCATAAACCTGGTCCAAATATACCAGTTAATGTAAACAATCCAACAACTGATAATATTCCTTCAACTGGACCAGAAAACTCAGAAAGAAATAACTTATGTGTATGATATTCTTCCCATGTACTTAAATAAAAGTTTGCTAAAGTACCAAATTGTGATGCAATAAGAATCCATGAATAACCAAAACCTGCAACGGACCCAAAAATTATAACAGATAAAGTTGTATTCACAGCATCAACACAGTGATCAAAAAGTTCACCAAGTGGACCACTTTGACCAGTTCGACGACTGAAAATTGTTAGTTTCTTTTAATGGTTTATGAAACTAGTTTGACAGAAATACTTACGCGTGTGTACCATCACAGGCATCAAACGTTTGATACATAAATAAACCAAAAGCATATGTGAAATAAACCCAACGAGGTTGATCACTCAATAAATATGGGTCATAATAAAACACAGTTAACAAATTAATCAATATAAAACAAAACCCTAAAAGTGTGACAACATTTGGTCTTTATAATTTGGAGTTAGTAATCTGATAACCGTCAATTGAGATAAAAAATTACATACGCCATCCACAATGGGAATATTTGGACAAATTTATACCAAAACGGTTTCAAAACATATCTAGAGACAATTGATCTATCTTCACCTTGGTACCTGAATAACCTATGTTAATAAAACGCGCTTGTAAAGACGAATTTGATGTAAAAGGACTTATACCAACTTGTATTCTTTCAAATTTTTCAAAGTATGATGTGGAATAAAGAATCCCATTTTCCCAATGTTTGAGCCTTTTGTGAATAATTTGGGCTGGTGTGCTGAGAATATAATATCTTGAGAAGAAACGTTTTTAATTAGTGTTGCTAGTTAAATATTTTTTTTTCCGGGTTGTGTCTGGTTGAATCGGTGAAATGAAAATCGAAACTTCGAGTACTTTTGAGTTTTATTGTCCAATAATAATATGTGTATATAAAAAAACAACCTACGCTTCGTTAAATGTGATTTGATTTGTATAGTAGATTCATAGAGGCATCTAATTACAAAGATTTTATAGTCAAAGCAAATGTTATATTATTGTATACATAAATTAACCTGTGTAAACCTTAAACCTGAACCTTTGAAAACCTTACAAAACCCATACGGAAATCTTGACAATCATTTACATGTTGCAAGCATCTTTGAGATTACAGACAATAGTTGATCGTTCTCACAGGCAGCTGCAACTCTCTCCTTGTCATTTAGCTGTTTATTGACTTGATTTTCACTTTGATGACTTCCTTCTTTCAACAGAATGGTGATTCTATATCTTACAGGCAAACATCTTTCCAATCTAACTCTGATACCTAATCCAATCAATGTAGCCAAGGAACAATGTGTAATAGTTGGGGTTATCCTTATTATGACCTCGGCCATTTCATTTTTGTTTCCTGAATCTCTAACTTGTATATCAGGTAAGTTTACCACTGCAAGTTGACCTAATGTTAAAGGATGTTCTGGATCAGATATATGTGCAACCAAATCAAAAATTTCTTGTGAATCTATAGGATCTGCCTCTTCCTCTTCATCACTACCTTCATCGTTTTCTAAACTAGGGGTGCTGTGTATACTTTCTTGATCATTCAAATTTGAGCTATCCACTAGAGATAAGTCTAGCAAACTGGCAAGGTGTGGATTCAAGCTGCGTTCAGTAACTTTTTCGGTCTCTTCAGCTCTAGTTGGTAATGATTTGTCGTCCAAAATTGTTGGATTTGCATTGATAACATCAGACATGGTTCTTGATATGAGTATATTATTCTTTTTGATGTCTACTAATAATTGTGAAAGGTTTACTAATGGAAATGAGTTTTTGATTTATTTTTTTTTATATTGGTGATGACAAAAGAAATTCGCGCATTTCCATAGATGATAACAAAATATATCAATTCCTAACACTATTAAATCAAGTTCTTTGGTCTTTATAAGCACAGCTAGAATGCGTGAAAGAAAAGCTGTTTTGGTGGCCATTGGAGGTGCTTCCTCAAGTGGTAAAACTGTGAGCTATGTAAAATGAAAATTACTAGAAGAGTTTGACAATTACTAACTTTCTTTTGATCAATAGTCAATAGCTAAAATCCTACATAAGTCATTGAAAGATTCAGTCTTGCTACACCAAGATGATTTCTATAAAGTGAGTTGAAACTTATTCCAGCTCATTATATTTTTGGAGTAGTTATATCTAACAATAAAATTCATCAGCCTGATAATGAAATACCAATAGATGAGAAAACGGGAGAAGCTAATTGGGACTGTCCTGATGCTATAAATTTTGAAGCATTTGAAAAGGAAATAAACTATATTAAACAAAATTGTCAACTTTCACCACAAGCATTATCGTATGAGAATCGATACAATAGTGATACAAAAGATTCAGGATCCTTATCAGATTTCAGTGATGACTTTAGATCACAGGTGAACCATATAACTAAATACATCGAGCTTGAAAATTGTCAATTATTTTTTATTGATGGTTTTATGCTTTTCCATGATCCGAAAATTATAAATCTTTTTGACATTAAGTTATTTTTAAGAGCCTCATACAAAACGCTGAAAGAAAGAAGAGAAGGTAGAGCAGGTTATCAAACTCAGGAAAATTTCTGGGTGGATCCCCCAAATTATTTTGATAACATTGTTTATCCGGCATATGCAGAATCGCATAAATTTTTATTCATTGACCAAAATGTTGAACAGGATTTGAATTCAAGAATATCGAATGACCTTGGTATAAGAAGCTTTGCAAATAATCCACCTTCAACTCTTTCATCTGTATCTTTATGGGCAATCGAAACATTAAATTTAGGATTACAACATCTTAAATATAATCTATTATAATTTACATCCATTTTTTTATAATATACATTAAAAGTTTATCTGAATCTATTTCTTTGTCTTCTTTTTAGCTTTTTTCAAAGCTTTAACTTCTTCATTGTAGACATCATCTGCACTTTCTTGTTTTCTTTTGACATTTTTGTTTTTCAATGCAACAACTTTTCCTGATGCTGCAGCTTTTGAGAGATCTTTTTCATTAATTTCAACGTCATTATCATCAATGTTATATTTGTCCAAGTTCAGCGAATTGATTAGTTCTCGTTGTTTTTCACGTAAAGCCTTTTTAGTTTCATCGGTTTCACCATCCAATTCATCTTCAATTGTTTCTTTGATAGCTTCAAATCTTGGAGTATCTTCACCATCAATTTCAGCAACAGCATCATCTTTAAATTCTGGCATTGTGTTTTCAATTGATCTACTTAATAATTCTCTGAAGAATGTTGATATTTTTCTGATGATCTTGGAAAACATTGCAATTGTTTGGTTGGCCGGTAAATTCAACTCTTTGGAAATATCATCAATATCTTTATGTTGTAAACCAATAGCTAATAAAATTGCATTTTGAACACCAGATAATCTAACACCATCAATCTTACCTGCGAAGTATAAGCTTGAAATACCAGGTAACAAATCAACAATAACATGATAATCTAATAAATTATTGGAATATGATTCCAACCTTTTCAAGTCGAATGGTGAAAAAATCTTATCCAAATCACTCTTGTCCAATTGTTCAACTTCATCCTTTTGGACAGCTTTAGCACTTTCAATGACGTTCAAAGCTTGAACTGAAGTGAATTTTTTAAAGTCATATGACATCAATGATAAAAATCTTTTGTGGAAATCTTTTGAAAATTCTGAGAGCCATTGGTTTTCTCTGTTTTCCAAAGATGAAAGCATAACACATGTATGTTCACCAGTCAATTCATTTTGAGTTTGACGTAAATAAACAGGGCTAAATTTGTTATTTTTCCAAAATTTATGTAAAGAAGGAGTTAAACCGAATGAAACACCTAAGTAATGTAAATAGTGTGGAGCCTTTTCTGATAACTTTAACAATAATGGTGGTAGTGTTTTAGCATCACGAAGCTTGACATCATCTTTCAAAAGATTTGTCTTTTCCAAATATTTATCACTCACACGCTTGACATTGTAGTCTTTAGTGGTATTAGATTCTGAAATGTCTGTAAATTTACCTTCAAAATAATCCCTTAGTAATTCCATTGCTCTTGAACCGTATCCCATACTTGCATAATCAGGATTTGTAGCAATTCTAACGACACGAGCACCACTCAATCTAGCAAAATCTTCATCTTGGAATTGTTCAGAAACAACCCAAGGTATCATATCACCACCTGCTCTATGACCACGACTTAAACTATTACGAACACTTTCTTTTGAAATTTCACCTTCTAAAGCTATTTGAACCACACATAATGGATCTGGAATTCTACCACTGCTTTCATCAATAGGTGGTAATAAAACAAAAAGCTCATGAGCTGGTGCATCACTCATTAATTGTAAATCATTTGGTGAATTTTTGTAATGGGAAGCAACAAATAAAGCCATCATTTTATGTAAAAAGTTTTCAGAAACTGGGTGATACGAGAACAAAGTATCTCTGTTAACAATAAACATGTTACACTGGGATGGGTGTGGTGTACCTCTGGCTGCAAATCTGGAATTTTTAGAAAGAGAGACGTCTAAACATAATAATTTATTCATCCATTTTTCAACTGCATCACCAGGGGCATATCTGATTGGTTCGTCTAGTGTAACCTCACGTAAAGTACGACCTAGAACTTCTGGCTCATTATTATCTTTGCTATCTCTGGAGACAACAGTTGTATCATCATTTCTACCATCAGTGACAGATTGTTCACGTAATTGCTGAATCAATTTCAAAGATAAAGATCTACCTGTACCTTCATAACCATTGATTGTTGAAGCCATGAACACAAGGTATGGACCTAATAATTTTTTGACAACTGGTAATGGAATAGCAGCAGCTTCATCAATAACAACCAATTCTGCTTGGCCCAAAACATGAGAATCACTTGGTGAAATATATTGAATGGTTTGTCTATGGTCTCTTTTAATATCAACTCTGACGATTGCCTTGTTAAAAGCTGGATTGGTTGATTGAATAATATCATAATCTAAATGTTCCTGGTAACCTAAAGCATCAAAACCTTTGAAGATAAATTCAAAAAGAGTTTTTAAATTTTCTGGAGATGGCGATGTAACAAAAATATTTGAATATCCGTGAGAAACTGCTGCAGCCATTGAAATACCTAATGCTGCGGATTTACCTCTACCTCTACCAGCTGTTAATGCAACAGTTGATCTTAAAGTTTTTTCTGAGATTGCATCAACAAAAGTCAAAATTGCTTGGGCTTGATTAACCGTTTTAGCAAGCGAAACCAATGATCCAGCAGGTTGAACATCTTCTAATGATTGCTTCAATGTTTGGAGCTCTTGAGCTTTTGGTGATAACTCATCATCATCTTTTGGTGGAAGAGGTTTGACGTGTTTACCTCCAGATATTGGTAAAACATTCAACTCGTCATCAACAACCAAACAATTTTCACATGATCCTAAAGACAAAATGAATCTTTCATTGAATCTAGCGACAACATCATCATGAGCTTCTGTTCTATAACGGCTGTGAATATCCATAGACATTGTGTAAAGTTGTTTCAATGATGACATGGATTTCAAAAGTAAAACAACAATACCACCACCTTCAACTGTTTCAATTGTTCTTGCTAGCAAATTAGGAGTTAAAGCTTCAAAATCTTGTAAAATACACATCCCATATGTATTACCTAAAATTTTTTCTGATTCTTTATAGTAGACATATCTAATGTTTTGATTTGAAATAAATGATTCAAACGGATCTTGTTCATTAGCTTCACGAATACCTCTTTTGATTTCCTTTTTGATTTTTGTTTCTCTTTTCTTTCTATGTGAAGTGAATCCCAAAAGTTTATTTTTATAAGCCCACAAGACTGATTTGTTCATTTTCAAATCCGCAGACATCATCAAATAGTGCAAATTTGGTAATTGGTTACGAGCTTTATCACCAACGATGATGAAGAAACTACGCTGTTTCTCCTGGACCCCATTACGGATCTGAGCTGGAATTCTGGAATCAATAGCTTTTTTAACCATAGCGACCAAATTTCTTTAAAAGCGAAGAGCTTCCAATTGTACTTGAACTATTCTTGTATATTCAGCTGGGTATTATATACAATTTTATAACGTACAAAAAAAAATTTTAAAATCCGAGGAGATGAGGTGAAAACCGGTGGAACAGAAGTCCACTTCTTGTCAAAAATTTGTCGGAAAATCAGTAATATTCCCATTATTTTCTTCAATATATGGTAAGTTTCAAGCAAAATGTCTCATTGGAGGGTCACTTACTTTAATGAAGGCAGACACTGGCATATATTGTACCTCAATACAGTGAATTTCAACTATACTTTATTATGGCAGGCTAAACAGTTTTTAGCGCTGAAGATTATATAATCGGTACGTGCAGTGTTTACTTTTCGCTAGTATCATTAAAATGAATAGAGTTGTAACTTTTTCTTTAATTTGGTTTTGTGAAACTTCTTTTTTTCTTATCAATATCCAAAGTTGTGATACTTTAGTACTGGCGGCAATATCTAGGCTTGGTCAACACTTGAAGTTCGGTGCTTGGAAAGGCAAGCGCTACTTATAGATCTTTCATCTTATTGTTCAATTAAATCTTTTTGTCTCGTTGATTTTACTTGTATGGTTGATACCTTTTAGTGAACAGCTCCATCCAATATACAAACATGTTTGTGTTTCAAAAATTTGGGTTTGTGGTACATTAGACCATGCTGAAAAGGATGTGCTGTTTTAAACCAAAGCTGATTGAGTATCCCGATTAACACGACAAAGCTTCCATTGTGAATTTCAAATCAAAACATATATTCCTTTTGTGGATCAGGCTCATTCGTTGTTGAGATATAATATGTCAGATACACCAAAAACTTATTCAAGGCGGTCCAGCCTACTGTCAACCTTTTTGGCTTCATCAAAGAAAAAATTGGCCCCAAGATCAAGTTTGCAATTCAAGATCGGTCCTCAATTTTCAACAACATTGGTCAATAATGATATAATCAACTCGAAAGGGGAAACTGTAAGACCAATTATCACCCCTAGAATAGATAGAGGTTTTGAGATGATTGATAATGAGTGGGTGGGATATAAAAGAAATTATTTCACATTGGTTAGTGCTTTTTGCTTCAAAAATACATCTTTTCTGAAATTTGTTGGTGATAACTATTTTACAATTGATCCAGAGACAAAACAGAAGGTTGAAATTGAATATTTTGCATTGAAATTAACTTCCAAATGTGCGGATGATGGTAGTCAAGTTGTTTTGGTTCAACACACAGCTAAAAGAGATAGGGGACCCCAGGTAGAACCACCTACACATCCTGCTGTTCCTGGTGATCTCCCAGATCATACCACAATTAGGGAAGCTGCCAATGTTAGAAACACTTCCAAAATTGCAAAGTTAAACAGAGTCTTCTTTTTTGATAGAAATGATACAAACAATGGTCTGATAAATATCCGTGGTTTGATGGACTACCCTAATGATAAAATTATCAAAGTTGCAAGATATGAAAGAATCCAATTCTCTTCTTCAATAAATTATAAAAAACCTTCGTTGAACAATAAAAGATTCAAACTTTATGTTGAGCTTGTTGGGCATACTTCAAAGGGAAGTTTTGTACCATTAGCCCACACAGAAACACCGCCATTAATAGTCAGAGGAAGATCGCCATCTAATTACCAAGGTCATGAAAGTGATAACACTCCAATAGATATGAGTGAAACGATTCACTCGACACCATTAGAAAGCCTTGATGATTATGACACATATCAAATATTAAAAATGGCAACTGAAGATTTGCAAGCTAGCCCTTGCATTGAATCAAGACCTAAGAAAAAAAGGGGTAGAAAACCAAAACCAAAGTCAGAAATCCAGTCTGTCAAAAAGCAAAAAACTCACAAATCTCAAAAGAAAAATATAGTCAAAAAAAGCTCAGGTCACAAAGCAAAAACAAATTCAGAGACTAACAGCACAAACTTCTTTAGTCAACATGATGATACACCTTTATCAAATTTTATTGATGACTCTTTATTGCGCCCGTTTAGCTTTGAAACACCAGATTTTAATGATGTAACAAAAACACCTTCACCAGTTCTTAATATGTATCATTCTAAATTGAATATACAAGATGAAAATGTGGATCCATATGAGTTTGACGACTCGGCACATTTGGTTGATCTTTTTGATACTCAAATGAGTTATTCAGGGGTTGAAAGACCGCATTTGACTAATATAACTAATTCACATTCTAAAGAGCATCAACATTCAACCAATACTATGGGTAACTATGATACTGAGCTTATGCAATTGAAAGGACACCTCAAGAAAGAGGAACCTGATGATTGTTTCCATGGTGAGTTTGCAAAAATAAACCCATCTGAAATGTTGCAAGTTGGTGATTATGAAGAAGGACCAAGCTTCATATACAGCTAAAGACTGAGAACAACATTTCATATAACCCGACACCCCACTCGAGAGACCAAAGAAAAACACAAACACGTAAAAGCATAAACGAACATTCCATAAAACAATTATAAAATCAACATATGTTATAATATTCACTAGAATTTCAATGTAGACTAAAGTAATGAAGAAACTGAATTTGAAATCATCTGCGAATTTCGAATTTTTTTTTTTTTTTTTACGCGCTCATCTGCCAATGTATCGGGTACATATAAAGATAGAAAAAAATTATATTGGCACAATTAAATATACTACAATCATCAATACTTATCAGATTGAAGAAGTTCATTTTTAAACCTGCTATCATGTCTGGAGAAATTCAACAATCCGGTGAGGAGCTTGTTTCTGCTATTAATGACAACCATAAAAGTATAGAAGCAAAGACTATAGCTGAGTCAAATCCTGGTTCAGCAATTGATATAAATAATTCTGAAGTGGTTTTAAATGATACGTCTGATTCAACCTCCAATCCAACACAAACTGATACAAACTCACCAAATATATCTGAATCAAATATTTCTGATTCTAAAGACAATGGTTCAGAAATCGAAAATAGCATACCTACACAAAACATGGATCAACCTGATGAATCAAAAACTGACAATGATTTTTTAGATGGTATATTAGAACAAGCAAAAGTTGGAAGCAATACATTAGAAGCTGAGGATGAAGAATCTGTTTCTAGTGACTCTTCTAGCTCCAGTAGCTCTTCTGATGATGAGGATGAGGATGATGATGATGATGATGATAATGATCACCAAGACATAAGAGCAAGTGATGATGATGAGGATGGGAATTCTGGACAACCAATTATATCCAAAAATGAGGTTGTTGATGAAATGGCACCATCTTTACCTGATGATTTTTCAATAGCTACTACTGATCCTATTGAAGAAATTGGTACCATCACAGGTGTCGTGGACAAAAGTTTAATTATCAAAGGTAACATATCTGGTGAGTTTAGATTTTTGAAAGAAGACTCTGTGCTTTGTCTTGAGGACCGAACTCCTTTGGGTTACCTATTTGAAATTTTTGGACCATTAGCGCATCCACTCTATAGGGTAAAGTTCAATACAGATAAACAATTAGAACCATTTGTTGAATCAAAAGGTAGAAAGGTCTTTTATGTGGTTCCAAAATCAAATTTTATTTATACAGACTCGCTTAAATTACTTAAGGGAAGTGATGCTAGTAATTGGAATGATGAAGAGATTCCAGAGGAGGAGCAAGAATTTTCTGATGATGAGAAAGAGATGGCATCAAAAAAGTCCAAAAATAAGAAAAAACGTACAAAGAAAAATTCTGATGGTGACGAAGGATCTGGTGGTGTATCTGAAAATACTAACGAATCAGGTAAAAAACTTCAGAAACAATCAAATCAAAAAACTTCTTCTAAATCATTCCCAAGAAAAAGTGTTCCAAGCACAAATCAAAACCAGCCTAATTCTATACTTGGTTATCAATCGAGGTCTCAAAGAGAACAACCTCAACGATCTAACCCAACTCCACCTAGTTATAGCAACTTCCAACAAAGACAAGTTCCGATGTTCACACCCCCTCCACATATGATGAATCCTAATTTTGTACCACCACCTCCACCACCTTCATTTCCAATGCCTGGTCAACCTCCGGTCTTTCCAAATCCAAATATGCAATTTCAAACTCCTCAACAATGGCACCAATTTTATCAAATGCAGCAATTCATGATGCAACAAATGTTCGCTTCTCAGCAAGCCTCATTCACTCAATCACAATTCAATAATGATAACAATGGAAATAACTCAACACAATCAACTAGTGGTCAGCCTCAAAACAAGGGTGGTCCTGCAAAGGATTAGTCTTTTTAGACAACTTAATATGTGACACTGTATGACAAATGGATCTACGTGTCCAAAAAAAGTGCACAAGTTTGTATATTATAAATAAACAAAATGTGGACATGAAATTTTTCAAAGCTTTTTAAGAGTTTCACTGGCAATCTGAAGAGCACTTGTAGGAAATCCTGCCATACCAGCAACCTCGATAGCATATGATTTCTCTGATATACCATCTTCCATTTGGTGATTGAAAATTAATCTTTTTCCATTTTCGTTTTCCTTAACTTGTGTTTTCTTGAACTCAACAAAATTTCCTAAATCTCTATCACCTAAAAATTTATGTAACTCATCCCCGAAATGAGTTGCAAATAAAGCTCTCGATTTATTGACGGTCAAAAGATGATGTAATGTAGCAAAGGCAATTGCAAGACCCTCACTACCACTTGTTCCTCGTCCCACTTCATCAAGAATCGCAAGTGAACGCTCTGTGGCACCTTTGAGTATATAACTAGTTTCTATCATCTCGACCATAAAGGTACTCAGATCATTATATAGATCATCAGCAGCTCCAACTCTACTGAATATCTTATCAACAACCCCAATAGTAGCAGATTCTGCCGGAACATAGCTTCCTATTTGTGCAAGAATCACAATAACTGCGTTCTGGCGTAAAAATGTTGACTTGCCTCCCATATTTGGCCCCGTTATTACCCATAGTGGTTTATCTCTTCTTGAGATATGATCATTTGGTGTGAAGTTCTTTAAAGTTCTTTTAAGTCCATCTTCAACAACTAGATGACGACCCTTTATTATATCAAGATCTAAAGATTTATCAACCTTGGGGCATACCAAATTACGCTCGTGTGCCAATACCGCAAATGAACTTGTCACGTCTAATAAATCAAGAAGCTCACCCATACTTCTTAATGCTGAGCTTTGGTGAACCACTTTCTTCTTCAATGATTTTATCAGTTGTTGTTCTTCATAAAAAATCCTATTGGTTGAGTTTTCTATGGCCTCTCCTAAGACGGTCCAAGGACGGTAATTGACCCATAAAGCACTTGGGTTTTTGCTCTTGATGTGAAATTCAGGCATACTTTCGAGCTTATCAGTTGATGACCCTTTTACAGATCTGATGTAAAGCTGATATCCTAAACTTATACTATTTCTCAGTTCCACTGACTTGAATCCCAGAGTTTCTTTAAACATCACGTTCAATTGCTCGAGCATTTTCTTTTCTTCCTCTAGAAGTTCATTGTGATAATCATGTGCCTTTTGAAGTGTCGGAGATGCGTTTGGTTTCACGGTCCATGACAATTTAGTGATTTGTTCATCATTCATTATTTTTTTACTATTTTGGAGCTGAATCGTCTCTGGAGACAGTTCATCCTCGCGTGCTTCTTCTTCCATTCTTTCTTTTGCTAACAATTCATCTTCTCTTATATTATGCAATATTAATTCTGAAAGTTTTACTAGTTTCGGAAATGGAACCAGAAATTTAGCTAATAATTTCTGTTTAGACAGTGTTTTCTTTGCTTCGATCTCAATAGTATTCTGTAATTCTTGTAATGTTTGAATAGTGTGTGCTAGATGAATTAACTCAATAGCTGAACCACGACCCATGACGAATCTTTGAACAATACGACTAATATCATGTACCTCATTAAGTTTAGATATAACATCTATGCGAAATAACGTATGCTTGTAAAACAGTGTCACCAATGCTTGTCTTCTATTGATTTCTCTGGTATCTGTAGATGGCGCCATTACCCATTTTGACAACAATCTTGACCCTGAATCTGTTACAGTTCTTCTAATTGTATGAACAAGGGATCCTTTCTTTAGATCATCTTTGAATGATTTGTGTAATTCAAGAGCATCACTTGTACGGGAATCTATTTGCATAATATGTTTTGGTATTCTTCTTATAGGAATCTGAAGGCGAATTGGACTTTCAGGTAGATGATAATCAATATAGTGCAACAAATTTTTGAGGGCTGCCGTTTCCTTTTGATTAAAGCTTTTGAGTTTCTCTTTATCGGAATCTTCAACAATCTCAAACATTGAAAAGAACATTTCCATAGTTTTATGTGCAGTAGGTAGTGTCTGATATTTTCTGAAGTATCTTTTCAATTCAACCATCTCTGGATACCAATCACCTGTTTCTAGTTTAAAAGGTAACAAGTTTTCATTGAATATAATCTCACTGGGTCCTATTTGATTGATTGTTGGGAGAAGTTCCCTTAATGTAGTCTCTTGAATATAGGTTAAACCGACAGATATATCAGCCCATGCAAGTCCAATTTTCATATCTTCCAAAGCTTCTCTTTTGAAAGCAGATAATGATATATCGATTGATAGCAAAAAATTATTTTCCTTTTGATTCAAGAAAGCTTCATCCACAAGTGTCCCTGGGGTTATAATTCTTGTTAGTCTTCTAGTGACTTTATTGACCTCATTCTCTATTGATGTTTCATTCTTAAATTGTTCAACAATTGCAACGCCTAAATTCAAATCCTGGACTAATACTTTCAAATGTCTATCGATTTGACTCAATGGAAAACCGGCCATGGGAATCTTTTTTCCTCTGACTTGTCTTTTTCCCAAATTCAGATTAAGCTTGGATGAAAATTCAACTGCGTGTTCGAAGTAAAGTTCGTAAAAACTTCCAAGTTGAGTTAAGACGACATACTCTTTGTACTTATCCATCATTTCCCGTACCTTAGTTAATGTTGGTGTATACTCAGGAGAATCTGTGCGTTGATTTTCTATCTTTTTAGCTTCCTCGGTGGCTTTGTCTTCTGTTTGGTTGATAGACTTAGGTAATTTGTTGAAGGATAACGAGACACTTTTATCATTTGGATGACTTGTTGATGATCTAAACCCTCTAGTAGATCTGAAAAATATGTTTCTCTGCGTATGAGCAAATTTCGAAGTCCATCCATACCGTATCATTATATTCTGTCTAAGTTTCCGATTGCCGATGATTCACTCAGCAGAAGACCATTCAATATTATCGAGCCTATGTGGTATGAAGAGAGTTTTAATGGAAATCTTTATTTTTTTGCCTCGAGATCATATCACAAGAGTTGATATATCTTTTTTTTTTCAGCTCATTGCGCGCTACGCGTTAAAAGAAGTTTAATTTTAACCCCGACTACGACAGATCAAGCTTTCATTAACTCAAAGATTAATCATTAAACTATATATGCTAAATCAAATCTAATTTAAATATCCTTTACATCCAGGAGCACCACAAAGACATCTCACACGTTCATTATCATTGGTTTCCCGTTCAAATTTATAATCATACGTTAATTCTTCGTTAGCACCGATGTCTCTCAATGCGTAAATGACAATTCTCTTTTGGCCTTCAACTTTAATGATTTTTGCTGTACAGCTCGGTTGGCAACAATGATTGATGAATCTTGCTATACCACCTTTTTTGGTTGCGTCAATGACAGTATTTTCATCTATTCTGAAAAGATAACTGGAACCGATCCCTGATTTAAGATAAGCTTTTTCTCTAAAATCTGCAACTTGTTGTCTGATACGTTCACCGACATACTCAATAATCATTTCTTTTTGTGCAATTGGTTCCAATGCATAGAGACCCCAATTATGAATGGCTGATCTAGCGAAAGAAACAGGTTTCTTTCTCTTGTTCAATTGGTTCAATGTCAAGATTTCATTTTGATTGTTGAACGTACTAACTTCATAAGCAAATCTTCTATTATTTGCTCTGTTCACTCTTGAACTTTGTACCTTGGATGAATCATTATCTTCGTTTTCAACTTGAACTGTGCTTAAAGGATCGTGAACTCTTCTTTTGTGAGGCAAATACTCAACTTTAAGTTCATCAGATATCTTAGAATAACCTTCACTTCTATGAGATCCCGTACTGTTTATCAAGAAGTTTGGGGCGTCAATGATTTCAGATTTACTAGCTTCAGTGACAGTTTTTGTTGATTTAAGCTTCCACAACATGTAATCAGGATATTGTGACACGGTGGTTGGTGGTGATTCCAAGAATAGTTCTTTCAATAATTTAAAGTCTTCTTCGTCTTTGATAACATTCTGAATTCCATTGATATCCAAAGTCTCCTCTTTATCATCATCATATACTGGGATTGGAAATTCACTTGGTGTAGGCCTAAATTGTTTCTCTAGAGCAGAATAATCAACATTGGAGTCATCGACAACCTCGTCCACCTCCTCTTCTATTTTAGGTACCATTTCATCTTTAGGTTCTGACTTAGTGTCAATATCCATTTTATCTTCTTGTGGTGTTTCTGGTGTGGTCGGTTGAGAATCTTTAGACTTCTTATTTTCATCTTCTTCCTCCCCTTCATCTTCTTCAGAGGAACTAGAGTATAACAAAGGTAGACGCTCCTTTCTGTTACTGACTTTTATTTTTTTCTTAGGTGGACCTTCTTTGTCTCGTTCTTCATCTTCCTCATCTTTATAATAAGATTCCAACTGTGGTGTAGAGACTGTTGATTCTCTGAAATCGCTTTCACTTTCATCTTCAAAATTCAGTCTATAGGACATAGGAAGGGCTCTTTTCTTCTTGGATTTTAAGCTCTTCTTCTTACCTAGAGAAGCTTCTTTATCATTTGGTGAAGCAACTTTTGGTACTTTCCTTTGTAAAGAAAATACATCAATAGATGGATTGACATCTTTATTTAACGGTGACACCACACTTCCAATTGTTTCAACAGTTGGTTTTCTGGCAGGAGGTGGTGCTGGTGCAAGTTTGGGTTTCAAATCTGGGAAATTTTCAATGTTCAGAAGCTTTAAGACTGCAGGTGCAATAATTTTTGTTCGAATATCCTTTTGAACGGCAGCCTCTAACTCTTTTGCAAGTAAAGAGGTTGACTCTTCAATAACGTCTCTTTGTGTATGAGCATATTTCTCATCACTCGCTTCTAATTTATAACTTTCTGGTAAATGGACTTCCATGTACAAATTGACTGATAAGACCTTTTTTCCATTTTCAAATTGGAAACAACGATGAGCCTCTTTAGCACTGTTGAAGACAATATAGACACCCGAAGGGTCATAAAGAACACGAGTCCAATCGTATGTTTCTAATGCTTTCTTGATATCGTTTTTCTCAACCTGACCTTTCACATATTTTGCAGCAATGTAAATAAATGGTCTACCTTTAACGTATTTATCCAATTCCTGTGGAACGATAAAATCATCCTTTTTTGATTTTGAACTAGGTTCCTTGGGTATTGGAGAGCTTGTATCTGGCTGTATTTGAGTATGTGGCTTTACCTGTTGTTGAGGTTTTTCTTTCTGTGGTAAACCTTTACTTTTAGAGATAGCATTCAAAACAGCTTTTGGTGCACTTGGTAAACTAATTTTCTTTTCTATTAGGTCCATCTTTTTGATTTTCAGTTCCCTTTCTTGTATAGCTTTAGTCTTTAAAGATTGAAGTAATTTTCCTTCCCTATTCATTCCAGCTTGAATTTTTCTACCTTCTATTGTGGTTTCGTTCAAATCAGAAACAGCTTTTCTAACTGATCTATATGCTCTATCATGAGAGCCTCCATATCTTATTCTCAGTATTCCCAGTGGTATACCAGTGGTTGGATCCATGACATTTTCAAATTCTAAAACCTCACCATGTTTCTTAACTTCGTTTCTCAAATAAATTTCGTTGAATGCTCTTGCTAAGCCTGATATCACTATTTCATTTGGTGGTGGTCCCCCTATTGAGTTTTTATCATATATGAGTTTAGGTAAAGGTAGGGATTTGAAAGGAATTTTTTTAAAACGTTTATGTGAACTAGAACTAGACTTGGAAGAGTTTTCTTTTCTTGGATCTTTGGATTTGAAGTTTTTCATATCCAGTTTCTGAGAAATAGCTTGCTTTCCTTTATCAGAATTTTTCGATAGCTCTGGATCATATATAATCTTGTATGCAGGCTTGTGTAGTTGTGACAATGTTTTTTCAGAAAGCTGATATTCACCTGTTGATGTCAGCATATGTGTTTGATCTTTATACTTTGTTTCATTATATTTTTTCCACAATGAAGTATCATTATCGTTATTATCAACTGTGGAGCTTTCTGGCGTTGAATATTGACTATGATTTGCAGAATTTGATACTGGTGGTGTTCTTAAACTTGAAGCAGGAGAATTCTGGGAAGGTGAAAGAGTTTTTTCTGATCTTGCATATGCTAAAGAGCGGTTTGATCGTTCATCCCTGTAGGCTGGTCGTACTGGAGGGTATGCTCTCCCACTCTTCTCTGGATTGTGACTATTTCCATTTGGAATAAATATATCTTTATGTGATGATGATGGCACATAAATATCCTTGCGATGGTTGGTATAAGGTCGTCTAGACTCCTTATAATCAGCTTCTTCACTTTTTGTGTACCTATCAGGAAAGAATTTGGACAGGTTATTCGACCGTCTATAACTCATCGAAGCTGGTTTGTATGAGTTTATGTGATTTCAAGATGTTATTTCAGAACAATTTGTAAACACCGCTTGTTAAAAAAAAAATAACAATCTCAAAAGTTCAGCAGCTCACAGTACTCTAGCTTCTCTCTATCTCACTGATGTATATCAGAGCTTTAGTAGAATATTAAAACAGAATCTTTGATGCCTTGAAATGAAATGTCTTGTTTTGTTTTGATGAATCAGTGCTATCAATTTTTCAAAATACGCATTTGCATATGTTTTGAGTTTTACTTCTCAAAAGAGCGCGCTAAAAATTATAAAAGAAAGTTCGCGGTCCCGCGAAATTCAAAGTGTGGTGAACTTGAACTGGCTGAACATTACAACGAGAAGCACATTTAAAAGGATCATCACATGAATGAATGTATATTGGAAGGATTTCCCTGTAAGTTAAATGGACTCCTTAAAAAATCCTGTATAAATAAGTTATAAATAATAAATAAGTTGATAATAAATAAGTTAATAAATAAGTTAATAAATAGGTCAATAATAATAACTCTATTTGGTTCTGATATGTTTAAGTTTAGTTGGACTGTGCAAAAAATTCTTAGAATAATCCTTCTTCTTGAAACGACGTTCATTTGGTTCTTGTACATAAAATGTCCACCCTTGACCTTCAGCAAATTTAATAGCTGCTTCTTTAGTATCAAACTTCATGATTGTCCCTTGCCTATGAATAAAAAAGTGTTAGTATCATATTAGCTGGATAGAAATACGTCTGATTCTTATACTAACATGTAGTCACTAGAACTTTGATACCCAATCAAATCATTTTCCCATCTATGACCTTTACCTAAAACATCCCAATCAAGTTTCCAATTATGACGACCTTTAATTATTAGTTACTTATAATTAATTTCCATGAGCTGTTAATGAAATACATACCCCATAATCCACTTTGAGATGCAGGTTTACTTTCTTTATAAATTCTAACAACTCTTTCTGTAACTAAGCTTTGTGGTGCACCACTGACAATTTCTTTAGGTAATTCCCCTTCTTCTTCTTGTTGCTTAATCACATCTGATTGTTTTCTTTGCGTGACAAATGCACTTGAGTGTAGCTTGCGACTTGTAGCCGGGATCCCTCTGTATACATTTCTTAAAGATAACATTTTGATCATTCACCCTGTTCAACTTAACGTTCTTCAAGTGTTGCGTGTTGTTATTTGAATCCCTTATTCTCTGGGGAAAAAATACTTTCTTTCATATAATCCGACTTAACTCACGTGTACAATTCCCTCGATTTTGGGACAACTTACGCGCGCTTCCCAAAAAGGACATTTAATTACAAGCAAATTTCTATAATGAATACCTTACTTTGATCAAAAACTGCACATTTAGATCTTCAATTAAAGACTGGGGGAAATGAGCTCACCTTTCGTAATTGCTGCTATACGGGATGTGGCACCCACTTTATCTGAACCGTATCCACAAGAGTTGAGAAGGCTTATAGATAGTCTTTATGACTACTCAAAATTTAAAATCAGTTTAAGTCAAAATGAAGAAATTGCAAGATATCATATATGTGCAATTTTGGCAATTGAACGATTAAAACCACAATTCAACTTTCAAGATCCTGTGTTAGATAAAGCACCTGTGCCCACAAAAATGGTTGCTCAACTTTTAAATATTTTTCAAAATCATTTCCAAGTGAAAAGTTCAAAACCTACACCAGTTTCAACTCCAAAGAAAAAAATAGATGATAAAAAACTTAAAGTTCCCACACCTAGCCCTTCACCTTCCAAAAGGAAACCAGGTCGTCCTCCAGGATCACCAAATAAATTGACACTAAGGCAAAAATTGGAGAAGGCTTCGGGTGATAAAAGTACTAGCTCTTCTAATTCTACACCACAAAACTCACCAAAGAAACAAATTATCAGTGATGAATTTCTACAGAAAACTCCTAAGAAGAATACACAGTCACAGCCTAACACACCAACCAAAAGCATACTAAAATTTAACGGGAATAAAACTGGACCAACTTCAAATTATTCATCTCCTACAAAATACATGAAACTTTTATCAGCTAGTGAAATCACAGCATTATGCAACAAATTCCAACTAGATACTGATGTCACACAGAATATAATAGAAACATTTAAACAATATTGCAGAAAAGTATCCAACGAATGGATTCTACTTTGTGGTCTCATAATAAACTGTTATTTCGTCATTCATCATAAAGTTATAAATGAACAACTTGGTTCCAAGACAAGTACAATTAAAGCTATGTTTTCCTTACAAAACGGTGGACTTATGCTGGAACAAGTCAACACAAGTGTCAATATCGCACATAATCTCATAGCATACAACAAATGGTTCAAGCAGCTCAAGATTAAGCATGGAGTATCGCTTGAATCCCAATCTATTGCATCGACTACTGGGAACATGATTTCCCCAGAAGTCCAATTCCATTCTGCTCAAAAGCAAAAAGCCTACCATGATTGGCTCCAGAAAATTAAAACCGAACTGATCCAAAAGTCTCTTGACTCCAGTTCCAACACTTCTGCAAACACATTTCTATAGAAACCGTCTCCTAATTAATTAATGAAGAATGATAAATTTCAAATTTAAGATCTTTTGAATTTTCTTTATATTGTAGTGTCCCAACCGGACTAGAGCTGTGGTAAGTGCAACATAACTGAAAAGTTTTGATCCCGAAGCAAAATCTTGAATAACCTTTATTAAGTATATGATTCTACCAAAAAAAAATATTGTTTTGTTGAAGTTCCAGCTAGCAGCTAAAATCTACTAAAGCAAAAATAAAAAACTATAAAGACTTTTAAATTTAGTCTGCTTTTTTTGCTTATCTCAAACTTGCTAGTAAAAGATTGTGTATGAATAGGTGTCTACCTTACAAACATTTTTCAACCTTTTTCAGACACAATTATTTGAAATTTGGTACTGTTAGATCTCTATTATATACATCTCAATCCCAATACAACAAAAGATTAATAAGTTCAACTGGACAGTTCTCAAGATCTAATATTTTATATAAAATGTCAACAACTAATCATAAAAGAAATTTATCCACAGAAAATTTGAATGGTTCAAATAAAAGAGTTAACCTTGAAGGTCAACAGAATCAAGATATTTCCATAGATCAAGATATTTCAATAGGTTCACCAGACTCCACATCAAATGATATAGAATCAATCCCAGTGATATCGGAGGCTCTTACAAATGGTAAATGGCATGATACTATAAATAAAGTTGTTAAAAGTGTTGTTTCTATTCATTTTGCTCAAACTGCTAGTTTTGATTGTGATCCTGCTATTGTTAGTGAAGCTACAGGTTTTGTTGTTGATTCAGAAAGAGGTATTATTTTAACAAATAGACATGTTGTTGGTGCTGGTCCTTTTTGGGGTTATGCAATCTTTGATAATCATGAAGAAGCTGTTGTGAAACCAATTTATAGAGATCCAGTTCATGATTTTGGGTTTTTAAAATTTGATCCAAAAAATATCAAATATATGGAAGTTCAATCTTTAGAATTAAAACCTGATTTAGCAAAAGTTGGTACAGAAATTAGAGTTGTGGGTAATGACGCTGGTGAAAAATTATCAATTTTAGCTGGGTTTATCAGTAGAATTGATCGTAATACCCCAGAATACGGTGGGTTAACTTATAATGATTTCAACACAGAATATATACAAGCAGCTGCCAGTGCATCTGGTGGTTCAAGTGGTTCTCCAGTTGTGAATGTTGATGGGTATGCTGTCGCCTTACAAGCCGGTGGTTCAACTGAAGCTTCAACTGATTTTTTCTTACCAGTATATCGTGTATTAAGAGCTTTAAAATGTATTCAAGAAAGTTTACCTGTAACTAGAGGTACTATTCAAACACAATGGATGTTAAGACCATTTGAAGAATGTCGTCGTTTAGGTCTTTCTGATGAAGCTGAAAAAAGAGCACGTGAAAAATTCCCAGAAATTATAGGGTTATTAGTTGCTGAAGTTATATTACCTGAAGGTCCTGCTGATCAAAAAATTAAAGAAGGTGATACATTAATTTCAATTAATGGTATTGAAATTTCAAATTTTATTAAAGTTGATGATATATTAGATTCACATGTTGGTGAAGAAGTTGAAATTATTTTACAAAGAGGAGGAGAAGATATAATTGTTAAATGTGATGTTGGTAATTTACATGATATAACACTAAGTAGGTATCTGGAAGTTGGTGGTGCCTCTTTCAATGATATGAGTTATCAAATGGCAAGAATTTATGCAATCCCAGTGAAAGGTGTTTTCATTAATAATGCTACAGGTTCTTTCTTTTTAGATAAACAAGAAACTACAGGTTGGGTTATTGATACAATTAATGATGTTGATATTCCAAACTTAGATAAATTTATTGAAGTTATGAAATCAATTCCAGATAGATCAAGAGTTTCAATGCAATTCCGTCATATTTCTGATTTACATTCACCACATAATTCAACTATTTATGTTGATCGTCATTGGTGTACAAGTTTTAGATTAGCAACAAGAAATGATGAAACAGGATTATGGGATTTTACTGAATTAGGTGATGCATTACCACCTGTTCCACAAAGTCCAAGAGCTGTTAAATTTATTGATATACCAATTGATCAACCAGGTTGTGCTCAATTAAGTAGAAGTTTGGTACTTGTTACATCAACTATTCATATTCCTGTTGATGCATTCCCAGCTATTAGAAAAAGACAACATGGTCTTGTGATTGATGCTTCCAAAGGTTTAGTCATTGTTTCTAGAAATGTTGTTCCACATGATTGTTTAGATGTACATGTTGTTGTTGCAGAATCAGTTATTATACCAGCTAGAGTTAAATTTTTACATCCAACTCAAAATTTTGCAATTATTCAATATGATCCATCATTAATTAAAACTGAAGTTTTAACTCCAAAATTTAGTGATGTTCCATTGAAAAGAGGTGATAAGGCAACTTTTGTTGGTTATAATTATAATTCAAGAGTTGTTACATCAGAAACTAAAGTTACTGATATTGCATCAATTAATGTTCCACGTCATGTTTTATCACCACGTTATAGAGGTTCTAATTTAGAATCTGTTGCATTTGATACTAATTTAGTTTCGCAATGTGGATCAGGTGTTTTAGCAGATTCTGATGGTACAATTAGAGCTTTATGGATGTCATTTTTAGGTGAAGGTGGTAAAGATTCTGATACAATTTATAAAATGGGTATTGATATAACTGAATTAACTCCATTTATTAAAGATTTCACTGAAGGTATTGATCCAATTGTTAAGATTGTTGATGCAGAATTTTTTGGATTATCATTAGTTCAAGCAAGAATTAGAGGAGTTTCAGATGAATGGATTGAAAAAATTGAAAATTCAGGTAAAGATAGATTACAATTTTTAGCTGTATCAAGAGTTTCAGTTCCAGCTGTTAATCAACCAAAATCTAATTTAGAACCTGGTGATATTGTTTTATCAATTGATAATAAACCAGTTTATAGTATAACTGATATTACAGCTAAAAGTACCAAAAATGAATTAAATTTCAAAATTGTTAGAAGAAGACAAGAAATTGAAGTTTTAGTTCCAACAGTTGAAATTAAACCAACAGATCATTTAGTTTTTTGGTGTGGTGCGGTTTTACAAGAACCTCATCATGCAGTTCGTCAATCCATGTTAAATTTACCAAGTCAAGTTTATGTTACAAATAGAATGCAAGGTTCACCAGCACGTCATTATGGTATTAGTTCAACAAATTTTATAACACATGTTAATGGTATTCCAACCCCAACATTAGATAAATTTGTTGAAGTTGTTAGACAAATTGGAGATAACACATATTGTAAATTAAGATTAGTTTCATTTGATAATGTACCATTTGCAATTTCAATCAAGACTAATTATCATTATTTCCCAACAGGAGAATTGAAAAGAGACACTAAATTGAACAATTGGTTCGATATTGAATATGATGTAAAGAATAAAGAAAGTAAAGTTTCACATATTTGATATATTTATATAATAATTAAAAGCATTTACATTTAGTATCAAGATCTGTAGTTTAAAATCTTACAAATTTTTTAAAATAATATTAAATAAAAACCGTTGTTCCTCTATTTATTATAATATACCAAACTAAGATGCCAAAATTGTTTTATATGTACATGTTTCTTGATTTTTTGTCTTTCTGATCTTGAGTCGATATATATATTTATATTCATGAAATCATTAATGATAAGGTAGTAATTTTTTTAATCTTTTAGTATGAGATTTATGATTTGCAGTTTTACCACTTAAACCTTTTAATAAACTTTTACTCCAACCAGCGTTACCATGACTTCTTCCAGCTTTACCCTAAATTAAGTAGTTAGTATTGAAATTTATAGCACAAATTATAGTTCAACATACTCTTTTATAACCTGAAGCTGTTTTTCTCCATCTTTTAGCAGCACCTTTATGAGTTTTCAATAAACCTCTAGTTATTATAGTTGAAGGTTGTTGAACAGCAGTAGGACCAGCCCTTATAATAGAAAATGCTGGACGCACTAGATTGAAAAGGCCAAACATATTCTAATAAATAAAGTAAACAAAAAACCGTGTATCAAAAAATCAGTCTTGTTGATATCTTTGACATTGTCATTTAAATGTTTTGTACTGATCTTTTTTTTTTCACCAACGAAGGAAATTATCAACACTTTTGGTACGCGCAGTAATATCACGTGAATGAATTATCAATTTATTACTCTGAATCTGATTCTGAAGAGGAATAACCAGTTAAGAGGTTGGTATTTGTTGGTTGTGGTTTGTTGGTATCATGTGGTTTCACTAGGGGAGTTGTTTTGGTGTTTGTATCTTGTTTTGTTGTTGTTTTAGAATTAGATTTCTGTGTCAATTTTAATTTAGTACTTGACTTTTTAGGAATATCAAAATCAGGAATAATTGGATTGGAAATGGGTTGTGCTTTGGTCATTTGTTTCTTTCTGTAGATGAATTGTTAGTACTGAATCATCATGACTGATTTGTACTTTACTTACTTTGTAAATTCTTCTAATTCTTCATCCAATTGACGTTTACGTTCCATTTCTTTAGCTTCTTTTTCACGTTGTAATTGATTATAAAATTCCAATTCTCTTGCATCAATCTTATGAGATTGGTTTTTCGCCTTCACTTTATCCTCATATGCCTTTTCTTTCGCTATATAATTAGCTTTCATCTGATCATATAAGGAAGGTGTTTCTTCTGCTTCTTTCTCTGTTGCAAATTTATTAGCAGCTTCATTTTCTGATTTTTGAAGAGATTTTAAATCACTTTTACCTTCTGGAATGAACCTGGACATTGGGATTGGAATTGGTAGTTGATCTTGGGTTCAATTGTTGATTGTATTGTAATATAATAGTATATAGTGGATAGTATAGTTCTTGATAATAGATTTATCAATAGTATAATACTTAAAATCTTTTGTTTATATACATCTCCATGGGCTTCGTAACCTTTCCTTTTATGTCAAAACATTAATATATTATACTCTATACACAAATTATAATAATTATAAATAAATATCTATACTTAAACTTGTTCTTCCTCCTCTTCTTCCTCATCACTTATTATGAATTCATCTAAAATTTCTTGTTTACTTCTTTTATTATCATGAATTGGCCAATTGATAGAACTTTTTTTAGTTCCAGTTAAAGTAACTGAACAACCATAACATATATCAATTGGGAATTTTTCACTATTTTCTAATTCTAATAAATCTTCTTTATTTGCTTCTTTCCATTCATTCAATGATTCAAATTCCAATTCATTTTCAGGTTCAATAGATTCATTAAAAGTTATAGCTCTTAACCAATTCATTGGATCATTATAAATTTTACCTTTACAAATTGAACAATTTTTATGGTCATATTTCTTAATAGGCTCAACTAATTTTGAACCTGTTTTAACCACTGTTGATACAATATTATCATATTCAGTATCAACATATGTATAATAATCACCAACAATTTCGTTTATAGTTTTCTGTTTAACCATTAATTTATCAGTTTTTTCTTTCGGTATCAAGATTAAATTTGAAATTTCTTGTAAATTAATAAATATATTAATTTCATTTTGTGAAATATCACGTAAAGGATGTAAATGTTCAATTTCAAAATCTTCATTATATTTTTCAATTCCATCTGTTAAATTTAAAAAAATTTCTGCACCACGACCTTTAACAGTTAATGAAATAACTTCTTCAGCTAATCTTGACATATTATGACCCCATATTATAGTTTTACAATCATTAACATATGCGAAATTTTTAATTAATTCCTTTTTAATAATTTGAATTAAATCATGTTTTGAAGCTCTATTTGGAGTAACATCTAATATTTCTTTTATTGAAGTTATTGAACTTAAATCTTTTGGAATTTTAAAACTTGTAAAATCTTTAAATAATGTAATTTTATTTAATAATTTTTTATTATTAATGAATGAATTTATATCAATTTTTTTGAAAATAATTTGAAATTTTGATAATTCATATAGAATTTCCAATGATTTATATATTTCATTAACATTATTTTCATATGGATTAATTGAAGAATCATCAATAAATATAATTAATAATTTAAAACCTAATTTAGCTCTTGGATTTCTTAATTGTTCTTTATATAATGAAATTAAAATATCTAATAAAACAATAGATGAAGGACCAAATGAAATAGGGAATAATACAGTTTCTGGAGTAAAATCATCACCAAACTTAACTTTAAATTTATCATGACCCATTTGTTTTCTTTGTTTCCCACTAATAAATCTTATAAAACATGATCTAATCTATGGTTAGTCTTTTTCTTCTCGGTGTTGTAATAATAGTGTCAAACTCACTTGCAAAAAACTTCTTTTCTGGATGAAGTAACAGCATCTTCCTTTTTACATCTGGAACATAGTCCAAGATCTATACTTTCTGTTTTTGATGGCATATTTTCAATAAACAAAAGTATAAATCTAGTATAAATCTATATAAATTAAATCAATGAGTATTAAAAAAAATCTTGAACCGTTTAAAAAAAAATGACAGAAAATTTCCCGCGAAAATCAAGAAAAGAAAAGAAATCAATTTGTCTCGATATAAACTATTAGCAAGTGATCTATTAAACAAAAGTTATAAGGTATATTGGTTGATATTGTTATCTTTATACTATATTAATTGTTAAATTATTTGGTATCATAATGTCAGAAGTTCCAAAAGACTCTTCAAAAACTGATTCAAAAACTGATTCAAAAACCACTCCTAAAGTTGATCCAAATATTCAACAAGAAGTTGATAAAGTAAATTTTACTCAGGGTTCAATTAATGAATATAAATTTTATCCAGATAATCCAACATCAGAATATAATATTCAAAATTTTGCAAATAAAGGACCATCAAAATTTTATGATCCATGTTCACAAACTTCTGCAATGAGTATTAAATGTCTTGAACAAAATAATTTTGATAGAAGTATGTGTACTGAATATTTTAAAGCTTATAGAGAATGTAAAAAAGAATGGATGGCAAGAAGAAGAGGTGATAAAATGACTGATAGAGCATGGTAAAAGAGAAGCGTGGTGTGGTGATTATATGTAAATAGAATGGGATATCATGTATAAAGTATAATTAATGAATTATGAATTATATAATGTTACGAATGAGTGTTATTTAATCACTTTATATGTATTAATTCAATAAAATTATTTATAAAACTTTGCCCCCAATATATAAATCAACCTTTATACTATAATAATAATCCAAAAAAATAGGTAAACACACAATTAAAACAATCTTATTCTTCTTTACTTTCTCCAAATGTCAATATATGATATGATAATAATCCAAAAAACAAACAAAAACTAGTAATAACATTAACCAAAAAGAACCACCATCCAATCCAAAATAAAGAAAATATAAAATTCAAAATATAAAACAAATCACACAACTTCATAATTAAAAAACAATATAAAACTTAATGTCAAAACTAGTTAAAACCTTTAATAAACTTTTTCTTATCCACTTCTTTAAACTTAAAAACTTTTTTGTATATCATAAATAAACATTAAAAACTTGGAGAATTAATAACTTTTTCTTCTTTATCTTCATCTTCCTTCTCAGCAAAACTTTAAACTTGGTGAAACATATTTTTTACATTTCATTGATAATTTAATAACTTCTTCATTATTTGAATAATTATTAAATTTTAAATCATCTTCATTTAAATGATGATTACCATTATGATTATTATTTAAATAATCTTCAATAATTGATTTTTGTCTACCTTGAGTGGAAATCAATTCAATATCACCAGTTTTCCTATCAACACAACCTAATAAAATTGGTTGTTTATCTTCTTCATCTTCTTGTATATCATTATCAATGAAAATTTTAATTAATATATAATTTTCTTGTAATTTTGTTAAACATTTATTACAATTTAAAATTGAAATTAAATCATTAATTTTTAAATTTTTAAAAGGTTTTAAAAATTTCCATTTTTGTAATTGTTTTTTAATGATACAATCATTATAAATTAATTTTAAATTTTCATTTGATCTAAAATTTTCATCATTTGAATTCAAGTTAATATCATTATTTATAAAATTTGAATTAAATCTTAAATCTTTTTTTTCAAAATCAATAATTTCACCAATAAAATTAAATGAATTCATATTATTATTTGATATAATTTTATTATCATTTGGTGCAATTTCTGATAACCAATGATTCATTAAATATAAATGTTCAAAATGGAAATTACCTTTAATTAAATGTTCATTATAATTAATTGAAATAAATGATAAATTAAAAGGGATTTCATTTGGTTTTGAGTTTTTTAAATTGAATATAAAACCAGATTTTATAAATGAACATGGTTGACATCTTGTTATTGGGAATTGGAACTCATCAAATGGTTTATGATCATCATCTATATGTCTTTTTTTGGAATTTCCAATTTGATAATCATTATATAATTTACCCTTTTCTCTTCTATATTTCAAAAATTCATTAAATTTTAAATTTAAATTTGTTGATCTTGATAAATTTATTGGTATTGAATGATCATAATGATTTTGAAATAAAGGATTTCTTAAATTTCTTTGATGATTTTGTTGTTCCAAGATTTGTTCATGATTTAAATCATTATATAAAGATTGTGAAGATAATCTATTTATATCATTTAAGAAATTAAAAGTTGAAGCATTATTGTTGTTATTATTACTATGATTTCTATTGGTATTTTGATTCTGTATTGTATGAGATTCATTTGAATTTGCAAAAGATGGATTAATTAATTGATGATGATTAAAATTTGATTGAGGTTGAATAACTCTTCTTAATATAGAATTATTTAAATGAATAGAATCATTTGTAAAAGTTGAATAAGAAACATTACCAGTATCTCTATTAACACTTAACGTAGAAGATCTTGAAGGTAAATCTTGATTAAAATTTCCTCTTCTATATAAATGACGAGGAGGTAAAGGAGCAGTGTTGTGGATGTCATTATTATCATGATTATCTCTTTGAGGATGAATTGGTGGAGGAGGTAAAGGAGTTAACATTGCTCTTTGAAATCTATCATTATTTGAATATTGTAATGGATATTGTAAAGGATAATGATTTTGAATTTGATCTTGATTTGAAATCATATTATAATCAGGATAATGTGTATGGGGGAGTTGTTGTTGTTGATGATTTGTATGATCTATATGATCTATATGATTATAATGAATGTTTTCATTTGAATCTATATGATTATCTTGATTTATATTTATATTTGCAGTATTAATACCTTGATTTATGGGCCGCATTTCAGATTGCCTATGAATGGGCATAGTGGATGTACTATTTGTGTGTACTATTGTATGTACTATTGTAACAGATGTAACAGTTGTATCAGTTATAGTATGGTTATACTTGTAATATAGTTGATGATATGATGGCAAATATAATATAAAAGTAATAAGAATAAGAATACATAAGGATATTTAACTGACGATATAACCACTACTATAAAAATTACGCGAATGCTTTAATATGAGAATCTTTAAGAGACTAAAAAAAACGAGAAGATTTAAAATTAACGGGTAAAAATGCCCTGTTGCGCTTACCGGCGTTTAAAATGAATATCTTTGATTATGTAATTGGTTATGTAATAGTCACGTGAGTATTGTATTATGTAATGCATTACATCATCATCATCAATATATAAATGCAATATAACCCTACTCAGCGGTTAATTCATTATTTAGTTCATTTGTTTACTATTCAATTATCTGTTGTTTAGTTTTGTTGTTGTTTCTATTGTTTGCTATTGATTTACTCAATTACGTATCCACAGAATATTCTAGTAATCACAATACTGACAATTACTAGTGCAATCAATGTACAGGGGGCAATTCTAACCAATAGCAATCAAACAACCACAACAACTAGATTGCTATTTAAGCCATTATGTAACATCATCACATCATCATATCAATTAATGGCTATACTTTCCTATATAAATACTCTACAATATCCTCTTTTCTTGTTATATTGATTGTTATTCTTTCTACATCAACAATTGATACAATTGATTATTATATTACAACAACAATTACAACATGTCTGATTTAGGTAGAAAAGATTTCTCTGATAAAGTTCAAGAAAAATTAACTCCACAACAAGAAAAATCTGCTTTACAACAAGGTAAAGAACAATTAACTTCAGCAACTGATAAAGTTGCTCAAAATTTACAACCAAATGAAGCAAAATCTGATACTCAAAAATTTGGTGATGCTATTCAAAAAGGTCATGATGATGCAAAAGCTCAATCAGGTCCAACTTTAACTGAACAAGTTACTCAACAAGCTGGTGAATATGTTGAAGTTGCAAAAGATCAATTAAATAATGCTGCTGAATATGTTGCAAATACTTTAACTGGTGCTAAAGAATCTGCTAATGCAAGTGTTGATTCAAGTGCTGGTAGTAAAGGTGTTTAATCGAGACGTCAGTCGAGATTAAATCAAATCAATTAGTTATCAATTAACTATATGCTACAAGACTATCATCTGCTATTATATCTGCTATTATGTTTTGATTTTTATATTATAAAGAATAAATGAATATACGATTATGATTATTATTAAGTGATTAAGTAACTATGATGTAACCAATTTCTGTGGTATCTATCAATTATGTACAATCTAATTTTATGGAAACAATAAGACGTAAGATAACACCATGTATTTAATTAGCATATGGCTATACTTGATACTTATTATTATGTACGTATATTGTGTATATTGTGTATACTAAAGTTATAATAACCTGTTTAATATATGTACTTTACTTTTATGGTTAATTTAAGAATGATTATCTAGTACCAAGTATATTTGCTTATAATTGCTTAGTCAGCATTGAATATTGGGTACTTATTTGAACATGATATATTTCATTTATTTAATACAAAACTATATGATTTTGATAGCTTTAAATACTTCCAATCTTTTATAAATTATTATTATATTATTAAAACTGTGTAATTCAAAGAAAATTAAAAAATTTAGAAATTTTCAAATACTTTAATTTTAAAATAAAAATAAAAATTATAAGGTTAATAATATTTTTGAAATTTTAAAATCTGAAAACTTTTTATGGAAAATTGTATTAAAAATAGTACAACTATAAACTAGATATTAATTAGATCAGATCTAGTAGGTAATATAATATGCATTCTACCAAAACTTAGCTTAAAATTGAGGTTTATATTAAATTTTTGGGGATTGATTACGTAATATATTTAACCCCATATAAATGCAGTATTGTATTAATAGCTTGAACTTTTATATAAATTTTATTGTAGTACAGTAGGTTTGAGTTTACTAATATATATTATTAAACTTGAAATTGAAAAAATAGAATATAAGGGTTAATTGTTGTGACCTGGATGATCATAGCTTAAACAATTGCACTATATAATCACTACAATGTACTACAATTAATCATTAAAAACAATATCAATTATTATTAGCTATTAAATTAAATTAGAAAAAATATCAAAACATATATAATCAATATATATATTAGAATTAAATTGTCAATGTCTAAACAGAATCTTGACCAGTTGGTAAACGTTCAACATTTGTAATTTGTGCCTTTTCAGCTAATTCATCACCACTTCCAGCTTCAAGAACACTACCACCATGTTGATGACCCAATTCTTTTGAAAATTTATTTTCTGTTGGTTTAAAGCCTTTAGATTGCCATGCACGAGGAATTGTTTCATATAATTCATCAACACTTTCCAATGATAAACCTTTAGTTTCATAAACAAAGAAATATGCAAAAAAGAAACAAAGGAAATTACATCCACCCCAAATGAAAAACACTTTAACACCTAACCTTGCTGATCCATCAACATCATCAACTAAATATGGTGTTGCATATGCTATAGCAAAATTCCATAACCAATTTGATGCAACAGACATTGCAACTGATTTTGCTCTAGTTCTTAATGGGAAAATTTCACCACAAACAACCCAAGCTAAACAACCCCATGTTGAAGCAAAAAATGATATAAATATACATGTAAATGCAATTAATGCTTTATTACTTGAATCTGATGATGCTGCAACACCAATTATTGCAACTAATAACTCAGAAACACACATCCCAGCAGCACCAATCATTAATAAAGTTCTACGACCAAGAACTTCAATAAGTAAAATACCAGGAATTGTCATAAAGACATTAACAATATTTGTTGCAACTTGAATTAAAAATTCATTTTCAATACCAGAATTTTTGAAAAAAGTTGTACCAAAATAAAAAATAAAATTTATACCAGTTAATTGTTGGAAAGCTTGAATGAAAACACCTGTAAATAATCTTTTTAATTGATGATTTTTAGTTTTAAAACAATCTAACCAACCACTTTTACCATGTAAATTTTCAAATTCAAAATTTGCAATAATTTCACCCAATTCATCAGTTAAAGCAGGATGATCAATTGGTAATCTTCTAATCTTGGATAATGATGCTGCAGCTTCATCATTACGACCTTTTGAAACATAAAATCTTGGAGTTTCAGGTAAAAAAATCATACCAGTTGTAATAATTAAAGACCATAAAAATTGAATAGCAATTGGAACTCTATATGAAGCAGTATTATCAATCTTATGAGTCCCCTGGTTAATAATTGCAGCTAAAAATAATCCAATTGTAATTGCAAATTGATAAACTGCAGTAATAGCACCACGAATCCATTTAGGAACAGTTTCAGCTTGATATAATGGGATACAAGCAGAAATAATACCAACACCTAATCCTGCAAAGACTCTACCAGCAACTAATAAATTAATATTTGTTGCAGCAGTTTGTAAAATTATACCAAAATTGAAAACAATTGCAGAACCAATAATTAAAGTCCAACGACGACCTATAGTATCAGATAATAATGGAGCACCCAAGGCACCGAAAAATGTACCAACTGATAAAATTGAAACAATTAATGAATGTTCACTTGATGAAAATACACCTTCTTCACCATTTAAACCTGGATTATCTTCAGGAAAAGTTTTCAAGACATATGGCATTGCTAAAATACCAGACTAAAAGAGTGTTAGTGGAATTATCTTTAATAAATAGAATATGTTACTTACTATAGTACCAGTATCATAACCAAATAAAACACCACCTAAAGCAGCAAATAATCCAATAAGGATAGCTAAAGTGGTTGAACCTTCAGTTTTTTCATCAAAATTGATATATTTTCTAACAAGTCTATTATTTTCTAACCCCATATTGAAATTAATGAATAATAAAGAAATTGTTGATTGAATAAACAAAATAGGTGATGATTTTCATATGATTAAAGGATTTATAAGATTATTTATATACATATTTGATATTATTTAAAGCATTTCCCCATTTCTAATGATGCCTTATGAATTGTTGAACTGTTAATTTTTTGTTTAGTGTTATTTGTCCAGATTTTATCTATATGGTTTAATATTTTCTATGTATAAACAACACGTCCAAAATTTCTTTAGATACCAAATTAACGTTTTAAAGTTTGAATGTGGAGTGGCTTAAAGAAAAGATTTACGATTGAAAGACGTCTCTTAATTTTGAAATCGATTGGTTTTATTGGTTTATTTTTAGGGGTTTGAATCGAGATTGACGTAGATGCTTTAAACCTCCAGGACATCAGGGGTACTATCATGCAACTTGAACTAAACTGCTTTCACTTACTTCCTTTTTGGCGAAATGATTAAGGCATTTTGAATACAAACATAACCCGTTTATTAATGTGGATAATAATATTTAGTGTATAGGGATCATGGGTTTATCCTTATTTCTAATTATTCCATATAATGATCTGATAGTAACTGTACAGGGTTTTGTCTCCTGAATATCATTCCCCAATCTATAATTTAAAATGACTGTTATTTATCGTAAAAAGAATGAAATTATACGAAAGATTTACAAACATTTACCAAATTACCAATACATCATTACCTGGGAATTGTCCTAAAGTTTTGGGGTATACATAATCGATAATATACCGAGACATAATTAAAGTTTGGTGACATTTGCACATTTGCTTTAATTTGTCCGATTTCTAAGGATCATTCACCAGTTGCTCTTAAATTATCTCAAACAATCAACAATAAACAAGAATATTAATCCATTGTCCAGTCATTAAAGAGTCATTCATGTCTTGTGAATCGCTAATAATTGTTGCGAATATATGGGGTTCGAATTTCGGACTAATTTTACGATGGATCGACCAATTAACTTGAGTTCACAAATCGAGATTTGATACAGGACTAATACTAATACCACTCAAACACTTGAACAACATTATAAATACACCTCCTCTTGTTATTAATACAAACTCCTTGTCTTTTAGTCTTTTTAGTCTTTGTGGTGGTAATTGGTAAATATCCTAAAATGACAGAAATAGTGTCAGTATTACTTATGTAATCTTCCAGAATTGAAAAAAATTAGTAAACCCGATGAGCTTAGTACAACTATGGCTTATCGAGAAAACCGTTGAAAAGATATTACTTACTTTTTATAACATCTCAAAAAATTTTTATGAATAGATTTGGTAAATTTATTTGCAAAATGTCAACAAAAGCTGAAGTTCAAACTTTCAAAACTGAAATATTACCAGTTTCTAAATCAGCTATACATTTTGATTCAAATGATCAATTAACAATAAATGATGAATCTACTGAAAAAAATTTATTAAAAGCTGCTAAAATATTATCTTCTTCAGATCAAGTTGTTGCATTCCCATCAGAAACTGTATATGGCTTAGGTGGATCTTCATTTAATGATGAATCTATAAAAAATATATATAAAGCTAAAAACAGACCTGCTGATAATCCATTAATAACTCATATATCATCAATATCACAAATTAATTCATTCTTCAATTTAGAAATACCTGAAATTTATAAACCATTAATTAAAGAATTTTGGCCTGGTCCATTAACAATTTTATTACCAATAAATAATAATGATAATCAAAATAAATTATCAAAATTAACTACTGCAAATCAACCAACTTTTGCAGTTCGTTTACCTTCACATCCAATAGCAAGAGCTTTAATACATCTAAGTCAAGTTCCAATAGCTGCTCCATCTGCAAATGCTTCAACAAGACCTTCTCCAACTTTAGCACAACATGTATATCATGATTTACAAGGTAAAATACCTTTAATCTTGGATGGAGGTGCTTCAAATGTTGGTGTTGAATCAACAGTTATAGATGGGTTAAGTAATCCTCCAATGTTATTAAGACCTGGTGGTGTTAGTCTTGAAGAAATTAAAAAAATTGGTGGTAAAAATTGGGAAAATATTCAAGTTGCTAAAAAAATAAGTGATCCAAATGAACCTGTTAAAACTCCTGGTATGAAATATAAACATTATTCTCCAACTGCAAAAGTTATATTAGTTAATAATGAAGAAACTATAAAGAAATATATAAGTGAAAATTCTCTTGAAGATAAAAAAATTGCTTTATTAACTACACAATTTTTCCAAGGAAATAAATTTAATGGTATAGTGGATCATTTAGGTAAATCAAAAGAAGAAATTTCTTCAAATCTTTTTTCATTTTTAAGAAAAATTGATGAATTAGGTGTTGATTTAATCTTTGTTGAAAGTGTTGATGAAAAAAATGAAGGTTTAGCCATTATGAATAGATTAAATAAAGCTGCATCTGAAACTATATAGACTTAATCATAAATTCATGTTAATATTAATAGAGTACCTACATTGATGATTGTAATATATATAATATATAATCTTTATTTTATTTTCTTTTCTTATTTTTATTTTGTCTATAAATAATGCCATTGAATGCTTTTCTCTAATCATCATATCCACATCTTTCATTCACTTTATTTCAATTTTTTAAACAACTGAATAAACATCACGACGTTGTCTTGAAAAATATTTCTTTGCTTCATCAAATATGAAAACTGAACTTGAAATAAATGTTAAAAATACTAAATCACTAAAATAAAGTGCTTCTGTTTGGAAAATTGATTGGAAAAATGGTATATAAATTGCACATAATTGACCTAATAATGATCCAATAACTGCAAAATTAAACATTTGATTTGTAAATCCTAATTCAAATATAGATTTTGTAGAATGACGACAACTTAATGCATTGAACATATCAAATAAAACAAAACATGTAAATGTCATTGTTGTATCTCTTGCTGTAACTTCATTATCTTGTGTCATTTCTTTAATATAAACATAAATTGTACCAACAATAACAAAAATTGCATTTGATAATAATCTTTTAAATAATTCTTCTGTTAAAATTCTTGCATCTCTTTTTCTTGGTGGTTTATTCATAACTTCATGATCAACTGGTTCAACACCTAATGATTGAGCTGGTGGTCCATCCATTAAAATATTAATCCATAAAATTTGCATTGCATTTAAAGGATTTGGTAATCTGAAAAATGTAGCAATTGCAATTAATGATAATGCTGCAACACTTGTTGATAATTGGAAAGTTAAGAAATTTTGAATATTATTGAAAATACCTTTACCTTCTTCAATTGCATTTAAAATAACACTAAAATCATCATTTGTTAAAACCATATCTGAAGCTTCTTTTGCAACATCTGTACCCATTTTACCCATACTAATACCAATATCTGCTAATTTTAATGCAGGTGCATCATTAACACCATCACCAGTCATAGCAACAACATCACCACGTCTTTGTAAAGCACGAACAATTTGAACTTTTTGTTCAGGTGTAGTTCTTGCGAAAACTGAAACTGATGAAATAATTTGTGATAAAGATTCTTCACTTAATTGTTCTAATTTATCACCACTAATAACAGATTTTTCTGTATCATTAACATTCATACCAATTTCTTTAGCAATTTGAACAGCTGTAGTTACAGAATCACCAGTAATCATAATAACATGAACACCACCATGAACTAGTCTTTCAATAGCATTTTTAACACTTGGTCTTGGAGGATCTTTCATTGCAATTAATCCATCAAAAATTAAATCTTCAGGTTGTTCTTTGAAAAGTTTATTATTATGAGCAAATGCTAAGACTCTAAGACCTTTTAAAGCTAATTTATGTGCAGCTTCATGAATTTTGTTATGTAAATCTGAAGTTAATTTTTCAACTTTATTTTCTTTTGTAATATAATGTGTTGATCTTTCTAAAATTCTTTCAACAGCACCTTTAGCATAAGTTTCATGTTTTGATAAATCTCCACTATTAACAGTTAAAGCCATGAATTTTCTTAGAGATGAAAATGGTAATTCTTTTGTACGAGATCTTGTATTTCTAATATCTTCTAATTCAAATGATGATAAAGCTTCTAAAAGTGCAATATCAGTTGCATTACCAACAAATTTAGCAGCTTCTTGAGAATATTTAGCATTATTACAAATATTTGCAGTTTCTAAAGTTTGTTTAACATCATCAGTTAAATATTGTTTTAATGAAGCACCTTTGTTAATTTGTTTATCAACAGTTAAACTTTCAGAATTCATATCAATTGTCCAAACTTTTTTAACAGTCATATGATTTTGAGTTAAAGTACCAGTTTTATCACTACAAATAACATTAACTGAACCTAAAGTTTCCACACTTGGTAATCTTTTAACAATTGCCTTATGACGGGCCATTCTTAAAACACCAAGAGCTAATGTAACAGTAACAATGATTGGTAAACCTTCAGGGATAGCAGCAACAGCTAAAGACACTGAAACTTGAAACATTTCTAACCATGAACGACCTTGGAAAATACCAATTAAACAAATAATACCAATGACAATAAAACTAACAATTGATAAATCTTTACCTAATTTATCCATTGTATTTTGTAATGGAGTTTTTGGTTTTTCAATATCATTCATCATTTCGAAAACGGAACCAAATGCAGTTTTATGACCAGTACCAACAACTATACCTGAACCATTACCATCACGAACTAAAGTACCCATATAGGCAATACAATCACGTTCAGTTAATGGAACACCATTTTGAGTTTTTGGAACAACAGGATCAGTTTTCTTATGAACAGGTTCGGTTTCACCAGTTAAATTACTTTCATCAATTTGCAAATCAACAGCTTGAGTTAATCTAATATCAGCAGGGATTCTATCACCGATGTCAAAATGAACTAAATCACCTGGAACCAATTGAGATGCCAAGACATCAGAAGTTGAACCATTTCTAATTAAATGAGCCTCAGCAGGAACTAATTTGTTTAAAGCTTCCAAGGATTGTTCGGATCTATATTCTTGAACGAATCCCACAGTGACCACAATGACAATTGCCAATGTAATTGAAACTGAATCATCGATATTACCCATAAAGAAACTGATTGCAGCAGAACCAATCAATAATAATATAAGTGGATCTTGATAAAAAGTTTTAAGAAATTTTATAGCTAAATGTTCTTCTTCTTCACCCGATAGTTCATTAAGACCATGTAAACCTCTTCTTTGAGTGACTTCATGGACAGATGTTAAACCTGAATGTAAATCTGTACGTAGTTTTGATACTGTATCTTCAATTGATAATGTACTATATTCCAATGATGGTGATGAATCTTGTGAAGGAGATGCAGCCCTTACAGGAGCGTTCATCTCTATATCATATGGATTATCAGAAGCCTTTGTGTATGACATTATATGGGATGTATGTGAATTGTTGAAATAGCGATGTTCAAATCACTAGGTAATATATGAATAATAATGATATGGGTGTTTGATGAATTGAAAGAAAAAGCGATTAATGAGTGGCAATTATGGTGATACCAATATAATAGCAAGTGTCAATAAAATTGAATTGAATGTAAACTCTTTTGAAAAATGAGCAGATATGAATTGAACCAGAGCTTATCTATCTAGTCCGATATGTTTCTTTTAACCCACGAGTACAGCCAACAAATATGAAAAGATCTAGATTGGAAAAACTGAGACTTTCACTGAATAACTTGAATAGCTTGAATAATATGAGCAGCCAGTGGATACCTAACACACTCTGACACTTCTATCAGTCTTCACAATCTCCAGATTAGCAACAGATCAGATCAACAACCGCTTAAAAGAACACGATAATTGTTTTTTGTTTTTCAAAATTTTGATCGGAAAATCAAAAGCGCGAAGAAAATTGAAAAAATCAGTCGCGAATAAGAAAAAAAAAACTTATAAGGAAAAATTACCACTGGTGTCAAAACTACTATTGTTCTTTGTTCAAATCAGCATTGATAAATGATAGATTGATTCCAATGTATGCAAAGCCGCTTTGAGACCACTCGTCTAGGGATAGTGAGCATTCTTTTTTTGTTACTGACTAACTGGCGGTAATATTCTACTAATCCTTTTTAGTGAAAAAACCACAGAAGCAAAGTACCATATGGAGTTGGTGGTACTGGTTGATTTAAGCTATAAAGTTGAAGTGAATAACTGTACAAGTTACTAATAAATAGTGCCTATATAACAACTTCGCACCAGATGGATGTTGATAACAATACATTCTCTGAAAGTTGTCTATATTTGCAATCATATTTTTTTCCCATAATCATTATACGTTAATCTGTAGTTAATACTATAGGCGCAATTTAAAGCTACAACAATTTATTTTATTAACTTTTGAATGTATTTACATTTTTAAAAAACCAAATTTATGCTAAAAGACTAAAAATACACAGGAAATTTCTTCAATCTAACACCTTTATATAAAATTTCCTTAGCTTTCCCCCCATGATATTATATTGTATTATATGATTTGATCATTAAATTTCTATTTTGGTTCAACATTATAACGCATACGAATACCCATAGCTGCTAATTCTGAATCCAAATATTTCAAAACAAATGGAATTGCCACTGTTGTAGTATTATTACCACCAACAAATTTATTACCTTGACCATCTTCCCAAATACTTGATTCATCAGCTTGTGTTGATGTATGTTCAAATTTACTTGAACAATTACGACAACGTATAGTTGCTGCTGCACCAATTCTTGGAACTGATGTTTGTGTTGCTAATAATGAACCACAACCACGACAGATTGAAGTTTGAGTATAATCTGATGAATTTAATAAACGATCTTGTAATAAAAATGCTGTACCATGACCAATCAATGCATCACGTTCCATTTCACCAACACGAATACCACCAGATCTTTTACGACCTTTAACAGGTTGCATGGTTAATGAATTAACTGGACCTGTAGAACGAACTTGGAATTTATCATTAACCATATGTCTTAATCTTTGATAATAAACAACACCAATATAAATATCACATCTTAATTCTTCACCTGTAGCACCTGAATACATTGGTTCATTACCATGATAATTATAACCAGATTTTCTTAATTGTTCACCAAAATAATCTGCTGGTGTATCTGATTCACTAAATGTCCATGGTGTAGAATCTTGTGCAATACCATGTAATGCACCAGCTTTACCTGCAAGAGATTCAACAAACATACCAATAGTCATACGAGATGGGAAAGCATGTGGATTAATAATAACATCTGGTTGCATACCAGTTTCTGTAAATGGTAAATCAACAGTTGGCCATTTTCTTGAACAAACACCCTTTTGACCATGTCTTGATGAGAATTTATCACCAATTAATGGGGATCTTGTAATTCTATATTTAATTGTTAATTGTTGGAATTCTGAATCTCCATTATCATCACCTAATAATTTAACTTCTTCAATAAATGCACCTTCTGATGAATGATAAGTTTTAACTTTAGTTTTACCAACAGTTTCATCATAATATGCAACAATTGGATCACCTTCTTCAACTCTACCACCAATCATTGGTAACCCATCAGTATCCAAGAAATTTCTCCATTCTTTTGGCCATTCATCAGTACCAAAACCAAAATGTTGAGTAATTGGATCACCACGACGTCTTGATTGTGATAAATCAACTTTTTCAACTTTATAAACTGTACCATAACCAAAACCTCTTTCATCTGCAGATTTATTTATAATCATCGCATCATCCATATCATAACCTGTATAAGAAATAACCGCAACAACTGCATTAGTACCATTAGGGAAGTTATCCATACCATATTCATCATATAAATTAGCTTTAACAATTGGTGTTTGACCACTTTGTAATCTATATAATTTATTATCAGATCTATGAACTAATGCAACACCTGGAGTACCCATAGTTTGTTTACCCATTTGACATTGATACATATTTCTTGGAGATTGATTAAAATCTGAAAATGGTGTTAAATTTGCTAAAATTGATAAAATATTTGTTGGAGTAAATTCAACATGACTATGAACATTATTTTCAATTTCTTCTGGTGTAACTGCAACATCCATATAAACTTGTTCAAATGGACCAACAATATCTTGTTTATCTAATGGTAAATAACGAACTGGACGCATCATTCTTGAATGACCACCAAAAATATATAAACCTGGATATTGACCTTTTGCAGAAGGTGGAACATAACCAATTTCTAAATCTAATGGTAAACCATGTTTACCTTCAACTTTCCAGAATCTTAAAGTATCAGCAACAATCTTTGCTTGATCATGAGTAGTCCAACCAACAATTTTACCATCTAATTGAACACAAGCAACATTTGGACCTGCAGCGAAAACATGAGCTGGTGAAACACCTAATGCACTTAAAGCTTCAGGAACTTTTGAAACATCACTTGCTTGAGTAGAAATTGAACATTTATGAGCAAAATGGTTTAATAAACCACATGGAGAACCATCGGGAGTATGTACAGGACATAAGAAACCCCAAGATTCTGGTAATAATTTTCTAACTGTAGTAGTTTTCAATTGAGCAAAGAAAGAACCTCTATGAACCATTCTAAAATGAGAAATAAAACGATGGAAATTAATCTTTTCAGCAACAACGGTATAACCTGAAACTTGTTGTAAATCTAAACCAGATTGTGAAACTAAATTACCAGTTGAAAGGAAATATTGTAATTTTTGACCAATATTTTCATTAATTCTCATAAATACTCTTGACATATATTTTCTATCATTGAAATTTATTGCAATACCACGATTTATATCTGATTGAATTTGTAATCTAATATTATTTAAATATTCTTCAATTTTTTCTTTAATAATCATACCATAAAGGAAGCCACCTAATAAAACTTCTTGATGTTGAGTAGCATCTGGATTATCTGGTGAACAATCACCAGCAACTAAAGTATATAATTTTCTAATCATAAATAATAACATTCTAAATTTATCTCTATTTGAATCTAAATGTACAAGAACAATTCTTTTCAAAACTTCTTTACCAACTTCAACATCTGAAACATCAGGAGTTGCATTGAAAACAACTCTAAATTTATCACCAAGATAAGCTAAAGTTTCTTGATTTGAATGTAATTTATATGTTTTAAAAGATCTTAATAACAATTCTAAACGATCAGTTAAGAAAGAATTATCTAAATCTGAACCAACAATACCATCGAAAATTTCACGATCATTAGTTTCAACAAGTGCTTTTAAAATCATCATAACTGGAACTAAATATTCATTTTTTTTCCAAGAAAATCTAAAAGTAACATTACCATCATTTAAATAATGTAAAACATTTGTTTGAGAAGTTTGATCAGGTCTAACAGATCTTATTTGAATACCAAATTGAGAATATGAAGCACCTCTATTTGTGAAAGAAGGTCTAATGATAGCCATTGGATGATTACGACGTTGAACAATCAACATACGAATTAATTTTTCAATACCATTAACAATGAAATAACCACCTAATTCATCAGATTCTTCCTTTTGAGCAACTAATTGATCTGGTGATAATTTTTCTAAATGACATCTATTTGATTTTAACATAATTGGGATTTGACCAACTTCTCTAATTTCACTAACTTCTTCTTCATCATTAACAGACCAACAAACTTTGATTAATAATTTACCTCTATAAGAAACCATTCTTTCTCTTGCTTCAGATGGCCAAGTTCTTCTATCTATTGATAACTTATCATTATTTGGAACAGAAGGTTTAGCAAGTTGAACAGAATCAACTCTAATCTTTAATTTGTTACCTAATCTATCAACATCATTACTATCAAAGATTGTTTTGGTACCAATATCTTTAACACCCAAGTTTAATAACCCACCATCTGGACCTTCAGTTAATGCATTGAAAGAACCAACATGAGGTTTAACGGCTTCTTCTAATAATGGGTATGCAGATTTATCCTTTGGAGGATTTTGGAAACGTTTTTCACGTTCCAAAGTCTTGAAATGGGCTGTTCTGAACGGTTGAGGAGCACCCATGACTAACAATGTATTATAATTGTGTTCAACTATTCAGAAGAGTTGATTAATCTTAGTAATTCAAATAGATCTTTATACATGATTTCATATTTAAAATTTTTTTTTTTATCAGGTAAAGAAAAAAAAAAATATGTGTTACGTAATTCGCGCACAGTTGCTTATGTCATTGTGATGGCCGATGAGCTTTACCCGGATATATTCGGAGTTTGTATATAAACTACCAGGAGTTCATGGAAATTTGTTAACTACCAGGAGTTGATGGAACTTTGTTAAGTACCAGGAGTTCATGGAAATTTGTTTAGTACCAGGATTTCATGGAAATATCTTAAGTACCAGGAGTTCATGGAAATTTGTTAAGTACCAGGAGTTCATGGAAATTTGTCAAGTGGTACAAAGATGAGTGTTAATTACCAGGAGTTGATGGAACTTTGTTAAGTACCAGGAGTTGATGGAAATATGTTAACTACCAGGAGTTCATGGAAATTTGTTAAGTACCAGGAGTTCATGGAAATTGATTAACTACCAGGAGTTCATGGAAATTTGTCAATTGGTACAAAGTTGAGTGTTAACTACCAGGAGTTCATGGAACTTTGTTAAGTACCAGGAGTTGGTGGAAATATGTTAACTACCAGGAGTTC